AACTATTGCTGGTCGATGCATGATTATATGCATCACTTTAAACAGAAGCTATATTTGTGTCCCATTATTGACCACTTAACTATAACTTTGCCACTTGAATTCTGGACTTTGTCATTCTCTATACTATGTGGTTTTAGCTGGTTAAACTCCAACAGTACATCCAACCCACACTCTGAGGTCCCTAAGCTTTGGCTTCTGACAACCAGAGCCCAATATTAATCCTTGCATTTGATATAGTGTCTTTTACGTAGTGAGGATGTCTCAAAGCACTTTGCATGATTTACTATAAAGTGTGATTGTAGATTTTTTTGTGGGGAACATGACAGGCACACAGGCAGCCTGCACATAGACATAACCCATAAACAGCCATGAAGTGAAATATTCTCTGGGATTAGGTAAGCAGGGTTCATTATTCCAGGGAGTGTGTGTATCCCATTTGAGATACAGCAAATTCCCACCTGTATCTAACAATACATGTGTGGAATTCTCAGTCTGGTTTCAACATTGAGCACAGCGATGGGTTTGTGTCAGAAACCTAGCTAACCAAAACAAATTTAACTTTTTGTATGCAGTTACTACAAAAAAAGCCATTATTAGTCCAAAAAACATAGGTAACATGTATTTTCTGCATTAAAGGTAACAGTTATACTTCAATTTATTAGCAGTTGCTTTCCATCTGTTCACTTTGCTTTCTCTCAGCATATCGAAGTGAGCATTATGTGACTGTTCATTCTGAGCAGTTATTAGGCCTAATATAACAAGTATAATCCTTGCATTTGATATAGCGGCTTATCACGTCGTGGAGATGTCTTAAAGCACTTCACAGAATATACTGTAAAGTGAAGTGGCTGTGTGTGTGGTTGGCTAAACAAATATGAATAAACATCCCTTGAACAACACTTATTCAGGTATGTAACTTAAAGCTGAAGAAACCATTACACAAATTGCATGCAAGTGCAAAAGCTGCAATATCCTGAAGATATGTGGGAAAATCAACAACAAATGGACATAAAATTATTGGGAGGAATCAACTTGGATAAACTGGGATTAAATTCACAAAAGACAGGCAGCGACGGTAAAAGTGCACTTCATTGTATTGCAAATATAAAAGACAGGTCTAGTCCTTTGAATTTCTTGACACGGAAGGGCAGCAGCAGGACTTATGAATATACCTCACCTTCCATTAAAGTTAAGCCCTAAATGTTATTTATTCTGATAATAATAATCCATACATGTGATATAGCACCTTATTGCATTTTCAAGACGTCTCAAAGTGCTTCACAGAACGTACACTAAAGTGTAGTGACTACGTATTTTGTGGACAAAATATGGCAGCCAATTGCGCACAGCAGTGAACAAACAGTTGTGGATTGAGTGACCAAGTTTTTTTTTGAAGGGATTATTAACAACTGTTTTTTTTGTATCTGTATTGATGACCATACTGGTGCTTGTTTTAAGACTAATTACCAGGCAGCCAAGTGACAAATTATAACAAGTCTACCAACTGGACATCATACATTTTTGTAGTTGCAAGAAGACTACTTAAGGGCACACAACATCTGTGAAGAAAATTCTGATGCAGGAACTTCAATAGGCCGTCAAGGAAGAATGCTTTGTAGAAACTGGATGATGAATAAACGTAAACCTCCCCTTCCTCCTCTTAGGAGACTAACCTCATCTATCAACTGATCTGAAAAAGCATAAGAGGCATAGACGGCCACACAATGTTGGACCTGACCTGCAATAGCACCAGGTTACTATACACCTACTTGCAATCGTAGTTTAACACAAGAAATTAGGAAATAACTTCAACGATGAACTGAGGATGTACAATTGCTCCTATTATTAAAACTGAACCAAATCTTGAAGAGGAAAAAACAAAAATGGCTGCTTAAATTAAATGCAAACAAAACTGTTTTTTGGTAGTGTGATCTAATAATACATCCCTCTGGTTTTGAGTATCTTTCCTACCTATTTCGGAATCCACAAACACTTCTAAACTGAAGGGTAGACAGGCATATTGCTGACAGGATTCATAAAGGTATCAGTTGCTGGTCTATGCTCTAACACTTGATGGAACTTGGTCAATCTCCAATGACTTGGTTCTTGATTAGGTGATGGTAGATTATAGAAATCAACCATTTGAAAGAGCTAAAGATTGATTTTCAATTAATCTGTGTAAATGGTTTGAAGCACAAGAAAACATGCAACATAATATTCCTTGTATTTGATATTGCAACGTGTCACATTGAAATGTCTCAAACCATCTCAAAGTTTTCTGTAGTCCAATAAGCAAATGAGGTAGCCAATTTGCCCAAAATGATCTGCAAACTGCCATGAAGAGAATGATCATTTTCTTATCTGGAGGACTGTTAACTAGGATAGCAGGAAAAACTCACTTTTCTTTTCGAAGGTGTGCCATGAAACATTTAAAATCTACCTGAACAGGTCCTTGGTTTAACAGTGCATGCACTTAAGCAGCACCATTTAAATAGGATAAAGTTTTGAAGGGTTACGCAATAACAATTGGGTGCACCAAGCAGGGTGGGAAGAAGAGAGTGGTGGTATAGAGAAAGTTATAAAAAGAGGGCTTTAAAAGGCACAAGAGAAAGAGATTTTGGGAGAGTTAGAGAATAGGAACCGAATGGCTAAAAGTCCCAGTCACTGGTAGTAGCCCTCCTTAAATTAAGAATATTTTTATTCTTTAGGTCAGAAGATTGTGATTTCAAGCCCTAAGAAGAACGTGCAGTATTGGGAAATCTCTACATTGTGAAAAGTGTCCTCATTCAGATGAGATGCTATACCTAAGTTTTCATGTTCAGATGGATATTAAAAATCCTTGATGCTGTTGCAAAAGAGAAGTGTTCTGGCCAACATCTTCCACATAAATTGATCAATCGCCCCATAGTTGTTTGTGGGACTTTGTTGGCCAAAATGGCTTTAGAATTTAATTCACTTTCCTCAATATTACAACCTTACTAAATTCCAGCTATTTTCTTAAAGGCGAATCATCACCCAAGAAACTTAACTTGCAAAACCATTTGTTTTTGCTAAATACACAAAGCAATTGGCTGCTGCATTTCGTCCACAAAATGTACAGTTAATTCACTTTACAGTATATTCTGTGAAGCACTTTAATACGTCTCGAAGATGTGATAAGACACTTTTTCAAATGCAAGGATTATTATTATTATAATGCTGCAATAACACTTCACATCATATCCCCCATATCTGTTATATTCAGCTTCAAGTCTGTAAAACTAAATAATTCTTTTCAAATCACATTTTTGCAATAATTGACGCCAATATTAAAAAAAACTTCTAAGGGCTATATTACACAGTTTTGGTATCTAATTAGACTTCTGGATTGAAGATAATTTTCATGAAGCTTTTAAAAAGACCCATCACTATAGAATTATCTGGTAGTGTTGATTTTGCACGTTAGGTTGGCAATGGTTTAATGCTTTATGATTAGCCAAGTATATAACACATAGAGACACCATGCTTAAGAGTCCCCAAACCAAGATACTGAGAGTTCAACACGCTCACCCCTGTGGGTCTTCAAATGCTGTTGAATTTCTCATTCATTCTTTCGTCACCTCCCATCTCAATTTTTCTAATGTGAGCCTCATTAGAGACTCCCCAGCTCCATTATTAAGGTTCAAATGATTCAAAACTCTGCTGCCTGCGTCCTCGCTTGTACGAGTCTTCACAGCCCCAATAGCCCCAGTTCTTGCCAGACTCCACTAGCTCCCTTTGCAGAATAGATTGATTTCAAGATCCTCACTCTCACTTTCAAATTTCTTCATTCACTGGCATGTCCCTACGTCTCTAATCTGCTCACTCACTCACTACTATACCGCCGCTTTCTCTATCTGGAATAGGTCTGCTGCACATCCCTCGTCTCCTCCACTCCACAATTGACGGCCATGCTTTCAGCCACTAGGCCCTGAATCTCTGGAGCTCCTTTGCCTCAATCCCTCCTCCCCCAATTCCCTCTCTGCTGGTTTTCAAATCAGACCTGATGACTTTCCTATTTGACTGTGCCTTCAGTCACTTCCCCCCTTTTCTAGCTCGGCGTCAAGCAACGCGGTTGTTAAGTGTTCTAAGTCGCTACCTGAGTAAAGGGCACTATAAAGGTGCAAGTTTTTTTTAAAAAACCTAATCTGAGATAATTCGCGCACGTTTGCAAGAGTCAAGACATGATTTTAGTTGGGAAAACTCCAGCAGTACCCCGATGCATCCCAAAGTGTGCTGGAGTTTTCCCAACTAAAATCATGTCACCTGCCATAGTTGAGCAGATGAATTTTCTACCACTTGTCCAGCTGGGAACATCCTAAGCATTTAGGTTTGCAAGGTTAAAAATAAAATGCTAGCCAATAGCATTTATTGAACTACAGATTTATCTTAAATTGTACGTAAAACAAATCGGAGGGGAAAAGCCATTGGATATTATGTGGTGTGTGTGCGGCAGCTTTTATACATAAATATATATAATATATATGAGAAGCATGCTTCCATCTCTCCTAATCCAGAATGTTTTCCCCCCCACCACTATTGACCCGAATCACAAGGGCACCATTACTGTACAATATATGATAAGAATCCTTGCATTCGATGTAGATCTTTACCACATTGTGTATATATCTACATATATGAATATTAAAAGTAGCAACTAGTCCAAAGACCCGATGTGCATATCCAGACACAATTAATTTCACCCACAAGACACGCAGTCAAGAACCACTTGACGGTATATTCCGTGAAGTGCTCGGGAGACATCTCGGCGGTCTGATAAGGCGCCACATCAAATGCATGGATTATTATCAAACACACACACACACACACATATTACATAACTATAACTATAAATACATGTGTGCCCGCAGCCCTTTGTGGTCTCAATGTAACGCCACAGGCATGGATTGCAATGCCACGCAGGGCACCGAGAGACACGAGAGAGAGAGAGAGAGAGAGAGAGCCACCCACCAGCAACTCACCCAAACGGGGCATGACGGCCCCGAGGAACTGCTCGTCCTCCTGGTAGTGATTCTCCTGCAGGGCCTCCAGCAGCTTGTGCAGGACGTCCTGCGGCACTTTGCATCCCGTCCCCTTCAGCTCGGCGAAGCGGGTCAGTCGAAAATTCTTGTCCAACTCGTAGTTCTCCGGGTTGAACGTCTCCCTCACCGACATGGTGTCGCCTTCACCACCGACCGACCGGACCGGACCCGACCCCCCCCCCCCCTTTTCGCAGCAATAGACGGTGGTGGAGGCGGCGACAATAGATGTACGTGTGTGTATGTATATTTATACAGGATACACACACACACACATATATATACTGTGTGTGTGTATATATATATTCTTCCTCACTTTTTCTCTCTCTCACACACAGTCAACGTTTTAAATTAAAAAAAACGCAACCACTCGGCGGAGGCGGCGGCGGGAGCGTCCGTCCTTCCTTCCTTCTTCTCCTCCTCCTCTTCTTCTTCTCTCTCCTTCCTTCCTTCCTCCCTCCCTCCCTCCTTCCTCCTCCTCCTCCTCCTCTCCGACCTGTGTGAGGAGATAAGATACGAGAAAGAAGGTTAGTAAAGAGAGACGAGGAGGGAGGGAGGGAGAGGAGAGGAGAGGAAAGCGGGAGTCCGTCCTTCTTCTCCTCCTCCTCCTTCTCCTCTCCGACCTGTGTGAGGAGATGGATACGAGGGGGGAAAAAAAGGTTAGAAGAGAGGGAGGGAGGGAGGGAGGGAGGGAGGGAGGCTGTGGCGGGGAGAGAGGGAGAGAGAGAGGAAAGTGAGCGGCTATTTTTCCTCCCCTCACAAGCGGGTTTCCCTCATGTATTCACACGGATTATTTATTTACCCTCTTTTTTTTTTGTGTGGAATTCTCTAACAACATACGCATTTATGATTAACCCCTCCGTCTCTCTCTCCCTCTTTTCCTTCCTTCATATTCCCTCTCTCTCTCGCGCTCTGTCTCTCTCTCTCTCTCTGTCTCTCTCGCGCTTACCTTCGCCTCCGAGCGCGCCTCGGCCACAGGGAAAAAAAAACTCCCACACTGCCCCGCGCCCTCCTCTCCTCACTCGCCGCGCTCGGTGCGCACGCGCATACCTGGCTCTCTCTCTCCGCCCCCCCCCCTCCCGCTTCCCACCACCGGTCTGCGTGTGCTAGGTGCGCATGCGCGTACCTCGCGGCGGCGCGCGCGCTCTCTCTCCCTCCCCCCCCACCTCCCGCTGTGTGTGTGTGTGTGTGTGTGTGCGCTCGGCGCGCGTGCGCGTACCTCACGCTCTCTCCCCACCCCCGTGTGTGTGTTCGGTGCGCACGCGCGTACCTCGCGCTCTGCCCCCCCCCCTCAGTGTGTGCACTCGGTGCGCATGCGCGCGGGCGGGCAGGCGGACGGCGGTTGGGTTCGATTTCGAGAGGGCGCTCGAGGACTGACAGTTGGAGTGGCTGCGCATGCGCTGGCGGCCGTTTGGCTTCCGTCGTGGGTCAGGAGCAGCGAGAGGCCATTCAGCCCCTGCGAGCCCGTCCCCGCCATGCTGTAAGTTGTCAGCGGAGCCCCCCCGTAGCGTAGCGGGTTTAGGGCACTCGCCGCCTCGCAAGCGAGAGGACCCGGCTTCGACTCCCGGCCAGAGCTGAAAGCTTTCCTGTTCGACTGTGCTTAAGGCCACCTATCCCCCCTCCCCCTCCCAGCCCCACCTCCTCAGCCCCACCTCAGCCCCTCCCCTCCCCCCACAGCCCCTCCCCATCCCCCAGCCCCTCCCCCCACAGCCCCTCCCCCCTCCCTTAGCCCCTCCCCCACATCCCCTCCCCCCTCCCCACAGCCCCTCCCCCCTCCCCACAGCCCCTCCCCCTAGCCCCTCCCCTCCCTCCAGCCCGGCTCAGAGTCAGCACACGAGTGCAAGTTGTGGTTGTTATTGCCGGTGCTTGACGGTGGCTGAGCGCGACGATGATCGACTAAACCAATAACATTAAAAGGAGGGCGGGGGGGGGGGCGAGGCGGAGGGATAGAGGAAGAGTGTTCCAGAGTTTGGGGCGTTTTAGGATACGTCAAGACTTAAATGAACAAAGACTGCACAGGAGAGCTTTTGCTGGAACCGTGGAGAGGAGAGAGAAGTGTAGCCTGGGTGGGGGTGGGGATGGGGGGTTCAGCGACACCTTTGAATTGTGGGGTTGGATAAATAGTCTGTGGAGCTTTTACTTATGGGGTTCAGGGAGAGCATCCATCACTGTAGAGTGAGGGTTGAAGCCTATGACAGTGTGGATTATATGGGCCCAATGGGTTTTTCCTATTCCGTGCTCTCACATTCCCCCCCATTTTTTTTTGTTCTTCAATGAATTCTAAACTGGTTCCATTAATCTTACACAAAGTTTTGTCGTCAGTTATTTCTGCTGCAGAGGTTAATCTCTGAGCTGCAGGCTGATCTTCTCATTACTCATCACATGAAGCTGTCTAGTTTTATCATTGATACAGCGAGCAACTTCTAGGCGACAACTCTTTATGACATCCATTCTGGCAAGTTATTGGAACAATCTTGTTTCCAGATTAGCTTTCTGTGGCCGAAGGCCTTCATTCTTGGAGCTGACTGATATTGAAGGTTTCGGTTATACATTTTCTATCATACGTTTCTGCAACCTGTCATTGTACGTTTTTGATAGGCAGTACACATTTAACCTGGTGATCAGTTGTTGCAATGGCGTCTGAATGAGTTTGCCTCAATACACATTGTTGAAACACTGACTACTCCATTGTCATTCATGAGGTGTAGTTTGATGTTACATACCTGAGACAATGATGCCAACAACTGCTTTTGGATTTGTTTTTCGTTAGCTTATTAGTGAATGATCTTTTACATTTTCATTCATCAATTACTTTATTGGCTTAATTGGCTTTAAAAGCAAGGCTTTATATATCTTTGAGTTGAAACAATCTACTGTCACCTCTCCTATTTAAAGATTCCATTTTGATACCAAGTTTCATTTGTATGAGGATAATTGTGGGCAGTACAATCTCTGGACCAGTGTTAACATGAATGCATTGGATTGAGAGACTCATACAACATGCAATTCTAAACCAGTACTACTGTACCAACAGCCATTTTAATCCTACACTGTTGAGAGATGGAAAACAATGGTGGACAGAAACCTGGACGTGCTTTGGTACCATACTGGGCACTCACTATCCAAGCTCACACATGAAAAACAGTCACTTGGGTCTGTGGAATTGTATCGTGGCAACAATTTGAACCTTCTAAGAAAAAAATACAATGCAAAAATTGAAGAATGACTTCTAACCTATAGTTATCATATGTTGTAGGCAATGTGATGTAGGTTAAACATACTTCTGTTACAGTCTAATAAAAGTCATGTTGATAGAAGCTCTATCACAAGACCTGTTTAGATGAGGAACAACCATTAGTCCTTTGATATCGTTCCAGAATACCAACCCTATCATCTTCCCAATCCAGCATTAAGATACATCTTTAGTGCCTCATGTTCCTGTTAACTTATTCCAACTGAGCTTTATCCTAAATATAAAGAAATATTTCTGGTACTGTCCTCAAATTGCCCTTCACAACTCTGAACCTGTTGCCTCTGGTCTGAAAGTGTTGATCTGGTTTTGCTTTCTCAATCCAATTTAACTTTCTCAGAAAGTCCACTCTGAAATGTAGTGTTCTACATAGTGTTGTCGGGGGGGGTTGGGCGGACCCTTAATTCAATAGAAGACAAATGGCAATGAAAAGACTTTGCAGGTATTGACTACATTTTCTAAAAAGCATTCTTTTTGAAGTGGTTACCAAATGAATTGAAATCAGTGCCACTCAAAATACTGCATTGTACTTTTGTCTGAAGTGAAAACTAAGAGTGGAGACTAACATTTCACTACAAGTACCTATTTATGAGCAAAAAAAATCACGGGCAGTTTTAGAACTTTGAGGTGGGTGGGAGTTAAAGAGCGAGAATAAACATTCAATGGGTAATCATGCTACATCATATCTATATAGATAGTTTATTAGTATTACAAAACCTTATAGATAGAACTGTCCATTAAAAAAGCCAAATTCATGAAGTCAACCATTCTCTTTTTCTTCACTGGTGGTCTGTGGACTAAAATATAAATTAAAGAAATAAATTGGTCACTCAATCCATGACTATTTGTGGGACACTGGTGTGTGCAATTGGCTGCCGCCGTGTTTCGCCCACAACATACAGTCAATTTACTTTACAGTATATTCTGTGAAGTGCTTTGAGAAGTCTCGAAGACACAATAAGGCGCTTTATAAAGTGCAAGGATTATTATTATTATTATATCAGCTGACCACTGAAACAGACAGCTTTTATAACTAGTGCAATATCAATAAGTTGGTATAACAGTTATACATTTCTTAACAAATTTTATTATAAAGATGGATACAAGTTTTTACATATTAAACCAACTGTAACTGACAATATATTACAACAATTTTTGTTCCAGTTTTCAACTAATTCCATAATTCCTAGCAAAATTCCAAACTATTTACATTCTATAATAATACAAAACGCACATTTTTCTACGTTTAGATTTAAAGAATCAACTTTTAAAATCAAAATCTGACATTCCTTTAGTAATGCACGTCACAGGAAAAAACGTTATAAAATTGATTCTAAAATTGATTCTAATCAAGACTTTTTTCCTGAAGCGGTAGTTAGTAGAAGCATTCATCACATCTGTAAGACAAGCACCTTCCTTTTTAACACGTTAAACTGTTCAATTTTGTCCTTTCCAGTTTTCTCCCCTTCCGAGTGCGGTGCAGTTCTACAGACATTCACCTAACTCATAATGCTGCTCCCCTGCCAACCATTGCTCCGGTACTTACTGACTGCATTAAATCACGGGAAACATAGTCTCGATCAGTCGCCACATGTGCAGAACTTAATTTTCCACAATTCAATTTTAATGCTTGCCGGTAAGTGTGCATACAGGTCAAGACACATTGAATCGCGGAAAACATGGTCTTGACCCATCATTGCATGTGCACTTAAGTGCTGCATTGAATTACGCACACGTAGTGTAGATAAATTGGATTTTATACGACTTATACAAGTTTGCCTGCAACTCGGACTTCGCACAAGTCATATCAAATGTTATGGTCCCGAACTGATACAACTTATGTGAGGTTTACTGTAGTACTGGTTTGATTACCAAGGAAACACCATGCTCGCCCTCATTTAATCAGTAGCAACATCTAAATGGACATTTGAAGCATTTGCTCGAAAACTGATCAATGTAAAATATAGTCTAGCAAACTTAAACCATTAGAAGAAAGTTTATTAAAAATAATCATTGATTTTGCAAATTATGGACGTCCTCCAGATGTGAAAGGCGCTATACAAATTAATTTTGTTGTTGTTATTGCCGCCGCCATTTTTTTTAATAAAAGCTGAAGGCAGTATGAGCATTAGATTTGAACTGTACAAGCAGCTTGCGATACAGCCCACATGTCACCCAAGTTTACTGCGGTAGTGTTTCCTCCTGAAAGAAACAAAAATGACACACTCATCATCTGCTCTACATCTAAATAAAAATCAGTTCTTGCATTTATGAGCTAACACTTGTGATTCAGAATTTCCATTAATTGTAGAATTAGCTTTAATAATAATAATAATAAAAATCGTTGCATTTTATACAGCACCTTATCACATCTTCAAAATCACTCAAGCGCTTCACCGAATATAGTGTAAAGTGAACTGACTGTATTTTGTGGGCGAAATGTAAAACAAATATTACTGCACTGGGAAAGTTAACATAAAGTAACTTTAAGCCTGTTCAAAAAATATTCTGCACTATAATCTTTATGAAGTACTCTTGTAACATATTCATCCGCTACATATATGTTTGCAACATTTACCAAAAATAAAATTGGTCATTCACTTCATTTTTTGGGGGGGGTCATTGCTGCATTTTGCCCAGTAAAATCCTGCAAAGTGCTTTGAAATACCTCAAGGATGTGACCACACACTATATCAAATGCAAGCAATATTATTACAACATTCTGCCTTGATTTCTGCTAATCTTAGATATTGCTTACATCTAGCACAATACATTTGGGGCTTGAAGCACCTGTGGCAGAGAATGTAGAGCTTTAGTAGCTTTAGGGCCATGTAAAGCTGTCGCAGGTGAGAGTTATGTTACCAAAAATAATCAACTGGTTTTGAATGAATGAACAAATCAATTCAAACAAAAGAATCTACTCACGATAAAAATATGGTTTTAATAGCCCTATAAATTGTACATTAATTAGAAAAGCGAGAAATTTTATATTAATGAAAGTTTTCTATAAATGCTTCAGAGCCTCTTTTTCCAGTTTTCTTCCCCCAAACTTTGAGGGAAGGCAATATGAGCATTAGATTTGAACTGTACAAGCAGCTTGCCAAGCTTTGAAGCTTTTGATTTTTTTTCATAACAGGGTGGTAAGCTCGAAAGTACCCTTTGGCAATTTGTATCACGTATGAACATTAATAATAATAATAATCCTTGCATTTGATATAGCGCCTTGTCACGTCTTCGAGCCATCACAAAGCTCTTTACAGGATATACTGTATATTTTGTGGGCAAAAAAAATTGCGCACAGCAATTACTACTTACTACTTACTGCTAGGTAAACAGACGTGTGTGGAGTAAGGAAACTTGCCTGCCGTTTAGCCCTGCCGTGAATCAAACCCAGGATCTCGCTTGAGAGATGAGTGCTCTAACCACTGTGCTACAGGACTCTCCAATATTACTATGAATGTTGGCAGGCTATCCAACCAAGGAGGGGAGGGGAATCTCAGCCGCTGATCCTGATATCCATACACTCCCACTTTCAAGTAGTTTAAGTTTTTCCTAAAGTTATAACTATAGCTTAATAAAGAAATCTGTAATATGATTACAACTATATTATACCTGAAATAGGAGTTCATGAAAGAAATGAGGGAGAGTGTATGAAGGAAAAGGGAATAAAGGATTGAGGGAGAAAGGAATTGAGGGGGTGGAGGCTTGTGTGGCGCAAAAACAAACAAACCCCAAAACAATAATAAATTGGTCATTTTCAATCTACGACTGTTTGTGGGACATTGCTGTGCGCAATTGGCTGCCGCTTCGCCCACAAATATACAGTCAATTCACTTTACAGTGTGTTCTGTGAAGCGCTTTGGGACGTCCTCCCGACCTGAAAAGCGCTATATCAAATGCAAGGATTATTATTATAAACCCATGGCATAGGCTGATGAGATGAATGTTTCCTCTCGATGGCTGAAAGAATACTAAAAGGAATGATTTCAGGAAGTCTCAAATTCAGCTGAGACTGGTCACAAGCACACAACACAAATAATTTGTTACTAATTTGGTAGCAATGCGCTCAGACCACAATGACAGCTGGTATTGGATAGGGAAATATTACACTGATCCAGTAGGGATGTTCTGATTCAATTAATAGACATCAGGGCAGCTTTATTCTGCACCTTAAACTTGCTAAATAATAAAGCTTGCATTTGATTTAGCACCTTATCACGTCTTCGAGATGTCTCAAAGCGCTTCACCGAATATATTATTTTTATTTATTTTTGAAGGAATTATTATCCCCCGGAAAAGCAATTCACCAATCAACGGTTAATTGTTAGGGTTCCTACTTACTGCTAAGTAAACAGAGGCGTTTGGAGTAGGGGAACTTGCCCAACGGGGCTTTTGGGGGAAGGGGAGAAAAGTGAGGTAGGAGAGGAAAAGTGGCCAATAGCACTGCCGAAGAGACAAGGTTCCGAGGTGGGCCCCAAACAGGGACGGGAATAAGGCATAGGGAAGTAAAACTGCCATGTGCATTTCTCTGCCCAAATTAACTTGATGTGTTTCACAAGATCTCAAGGTTGATTTGGATGAGATTGGTTTGAAGTTGAGATCAGCATCCATCCATAGGTATTTAGATTTATAGCACATTGTGTGCTGGATCTTTGAGGGACACTGCTGTGTTCAACTGCCTGCCCAGTTCTCCCCCAAAACACAGTCAATCTACTTTACAGTATATACTTTGAAGCTCTTTCAGACATCTCGACAAGTTAATAAGGAGCTATATTATGCTCGGATTATTATTTGTGACCTGAATTTAATATTAAATACCACAAGGCCTTGATTTCAAACAAATCTCACGAGATGGAGATCATTAAAAAAACACCTGAAACAGCCCATGTTTCTGAGTAGCCTGCTTGCTAAATAATAATAATGCTTGCATAATAATGTGCACTGGACATTCCTGGTTTTGTTTGAAAAAAGTATTTTGATTTTACAGCAAGAAAAATGTGACGGAACGTATTGAAGTATGAAGGCCTTACCTGGATTCAAAATAAGACTGTTGCCTGTTTTCCCATTGGATTCAAATGCATCCAGGACTAGAAGCAAGCAAGTACAGAAACAGTTAGATAATTCCTGACTTGGAATTTGTAGATCATGAGCTTGGAATCATTTGGAGTCCCGTAGGGTAGTGGTTAGCGTGCTCGCCTCGCAAGCGAGATGATCCAGGTTCGATTCCCGGGTAGGGCGAAACCTTAGGCAAGTTTCCTTACTCCACACGGCTTTATACCTAGCAGTAAGTAGGAACCCAGTTGTTAGTCGATTGGTGGATTGCTTTCCGGGGATAATAATCCCTCACAGAAAGGTCACTCAATTCACGACTGTTTGTGAGACCCTAGTGTGCATAATTAAATGCCGCGTTTCACCCACAAAATACACAATCAATTCACTTTACAATACATTTATTTTGGGAAGTCCTCCCGATGTGAAACTCGCTATCTAAAAGCAATTTGTTGTTGCATTAGAGATTTGACACCATTTGACATTTAGGACTTCAAGGCTAGTACTTACCAGAACCTCGTTTTAACCGCTTTCTTGCCAGTTTAATTTGATCTTGGAGGATCTGTATCCAATCCTTCGGTCCAGGAAGTCTATCAATCTGATTTAATGTGCAATATTTTTCTGTAAAGACTAAAAAAGTGGAAGTTCTATTGAATCACATTTCAAATTTATATGACAGCAAGTAACTGAGCTAAAACCCCCACCTGAAGACTTTCCTGTTTGATTGTGCTTACGGCCACCCACCACCCTCCCCCCAGCTCGGAATCAGGCTCTGGCATTATTAAGCGCTCTGAGACGCTATTCTGCGTGGAGAGCACTATGTTTGTGCAAGTTGTTGTTACTGTTGCTTCTGTAGAATTTTGGAAACAAGTTTCAAGATAAAGCAGTTATTAAAATGTGTGGTCTTTTTAAGATTTGGGGTTGCTTTTAGCTGTAACGCCGGGCAGCTTAGTGTTGTACAACATGTATCCCTAAATACAGAACATTCAAAGCCCCTTTGCGCTAATTGTATCTTCCTGTACATCAGAGATGAGGCTAATTAGTAATATAAAAAAGACTTGTGATGACCTACAATAATGATCAACCTCTCTCAGTGCTGCATGTATATCTGCACGACTAGTCCGTTGTTTATTAACGGAAGGACTCTTTTGTGATAGTGCATTCGAAACAATCTTCCTAATCACCGTACACGGGAAGCACTTTGTAACCCTGCATTGTAGATTCAATATCAGCCGTCTAGACGACAAGTAAATAACAACAATAACAACATTACATTTGTATAGCGCCTTTCACGTCGGGAGGACGTCCCAAGGCGCTGGACAGAGTACGGCATCTCAGACCCGAGCTGGGGTTGAAATAACCTTTAAAATTACCTTTTATTGCTCCCACAATGTTCTGATCAAGACCTTTCCTGTTGTCGTTGGCTCCTCGTTTTCTTTTCCCATTTGGGAGCGAGTTCGCCAGCGTCCGGTCGTCAAAAAAAGCGGAGACCAGTTTCCGAAACAGCAGACTTCCCGAACGGGAATAATTCAGTAATATGGACTCCAGCTGAGACTTGGGGATGAACACGTCATAACCTTCCGCAAGACGCATTTCCGGCTGTGGGAAGACACGAAGGAAAGTAAGTGATTACTGATCACTCAGTGAGCGATTGATGTAAGGAAGGAACAGATTCAATGGGTGCATGGCTTAATTTGCTCGTTCCTCCAAGCTTCAGTGGGGGAATCCAGCACGGGGCTCCATCTACTGGCCTGCATACGGATGTGGCACTTGTATTTTGATCGCGAGAATTCAAGCTCCCTTTCAAAAAGTCACTCTTCCTCTCTTGCCGCGTCCAAATGCAACAAAACGCACAAAATGACAACGTGCCTGAAATCAAATTTTCAAGCCTTGCTCTTTTGCATGTAATTGCAATACAAATTTACATTTGCGTAGCATCTCACCTATCAGGAGGATTTCCCAAAGAGCTTAAATTCGACAGACACTACGGGTGGCTCAGAACACTACACAACAAAATATGGCAGTTACATGCCAGACACAAGATCTGAAGAGACGTCGGAGAGAGGTGAGACTGTAAACGGATTTCAAAGTCTGCACAAGGATCTTAAAAGAGTCATCTCAATAGGGTATTGAGAGCCAGGAGACATGTGAGGATAGCAGGTCTACTGAGCAAGGTTGGGGAGCCAAAACAGCTACAGAGATTTGGATGCGTTAGACTTGGGAGAGGTAGGATTTGAGAGGCCCTTGAAAGCATTAACGAAGTCTATAGATACTCAAGGTAGTGAAGGCAAGGATTTCAGCACAAATGGAGAGAGAACCAAACAGGATATCTACAGTCTAGTTGACATTTATCTGAAGGGCGTTGAGGTTAAGAACCTAAGAACATAATAATGCTAGATGAAAAAAAAACAAGGTCCATCTAGTTTGACTTCCACCTTCCTGGCGGTCACATGCTTATATGTCCCGGACTATCTATGCACAAATAGCATTTCTATAGATTTGTTCTGAAGTTACCCCACTTCAATCGCAGGCCAAAATAAGAACTTATCCCAGAATTGTAAAAGAAAATTAGCAAAAGTGCTGCATTTCACCCACAAAATATACAGTCCTATATATTCAGTATATTCTGTGAAGCGCTTTGAGACGTGATAAGGCACTATATCAAATGCAAGGATTATTATTATTACACAGCTTGCCATCAAACTGCACCAATGTTCAGCGCTCTGAGATGCTATTCCACATGATAGATGCAAATTGTTGCTGAACAAAAAGTAGAAAGATACTGTGGCCTCACAACTGAATCACACCGAAGTTTTCACTATAGTTTTTAAGATTTTCCTAAATTATAATTATTAAATTTTTGCCTCAAGAGGATTTTATCTTCTGTTTTACATTTTCTTTAATGTTGTAAGTAGTTTGCAGAAATTTAAAGGAAATTTTGTGGCTTTGCATTCGGATGTGTAGCTATATAGAATCTCCTTTATTGTTCCCAGGGGATGCAATTAGAAATTAATGATGTGGAATAATAAATGGGCATCTTCTTAAGTGCAAAACAGGCCTTTGAGCTAATTATAAGTGGAGAGGAAAAATATCAAAGCAAACAGAATCAAATAAAAATTCCACACAAGAGAGCAGACAATGTCCATGTTTGTATACATTGATTATTAACAGAGCACTTCAGTGGTATTTAATCAGCCTCAACATCTTGGGATTCTTGTTTTCGGAAGATTATTAAACCTCTGCAATACATGACTTAACAATTCCTAATTAGTTTGTACATGCTCAAAAGATGCCACTTTCAAATACTGAGTGGCTGGGAAACTTTTTTTGTAAGTGTGCGCCTGGAGTCCTGTAGCTCAGTGGTTAGAGCACTCGCCTCTGCAAGTGAGAAGACCTGGGATCGATTCCTGAGAAACGTTGGCCAAGTTTCCTTACTCCACACACCTCTGTTTACCTAACAGTCAGTAGGAACCCAGTTGTTAGTCGATTGGCGGATCGCTTTTCCGGGGGTAATAATCCCTTCCAAAAATAAAATAATAATAATTGGGTCACTGACTCCACAACTGTGTGTGGGACACTGCTGTCCGAGCACTTTAAGACGTCTCAAAGATGTGATAAGGCCCTAAACGAAAGGGGATCTCAGTCATTTGTTCTGTCATTGGTGCCAGTACGATTTGGCAACCTTTTACTATTTCTGTTTTGTTCCTGGGTTTCCACGGAGAATTTCTGGGATTTCCAATGGCAGATATAGAATGACTCTGTCCTTTGATGTCTCTTCCAGATGGATTTGTGAAGCTGTGACAACTGTTTAATCACTATGCCTTTGAAGATGCATTCAGTCATCCCCTCTTTGCAGTGAACTCGAATTCCCAACTAAAAATAGTTTGAAGGGTTAGCCTTCACAATGAATTAATGTGGCCTATTTGCAGGAACTAGTTTGTTCTGGAGTGAGAGTTATGAATGGGTGAGTGGAATGTCTAATTGCTGAATCACAGGGTTCTGCATGTGAGCTCGATAAGGCAGCTTTGCTTACCCCTTCCTTTCCCAGCTATTTGCTTTATATAAATATTTTTTAGTACTGAAGTTAGGCCCTGCTAACTTACCTCTCTCTGTGCCACTTTGGCATTAAAAAAAAGGACCATCCTCATTAAGAGGACGTATAAAAGAGGGTGTCCAGTGCTTTGAGATGTCCTCCCGATGTGAATGACGCTGCTTAAATGCAATTTATTGTCGTTGTACTCATACAGAGCACCCATTCACCAGTCTTTGTATTTGCATTACAAAGTGTGTAGCTGACTACAACAACTTGCACTTATATAGTGCTCTCCACGCAGGGTAGCGTCTCAGAGCGCTTAACAGTGGCGGAGCCTGACTCCGAGCCGGGGGTCGGGGGTGGGGGAGGTGGCCATAAGCACGGTCGAAGAGGAAGGTTTTCAGGCGGGACTTGAAAAAGGGGACAAAGGCTACTGAATATTCCCTCCCCCTTGTCACCTGTTCTACCCATATGAATTCACTTGAATTCTTAACAGAGTCACCAATGTTTGCAACATACAATTTCTCCCTTTACCACTGAAAGATAAACAGATAAGAGTGCATTTTTCAGTGCCGCATCACGCATGACCTGCCACTCTTTGATGTAGTATCGAACGTAATTCATTGACAAGGTTACTCTCAGCTAGATTGTATCAGAGCCTACAGATGAAAGTAACAGCCCTGTTCTAGTTACAAACTGCTGGAAGCATTATTGGGGAAGGTTTAAACATTTTTTTTCAAAATTTAAAATAATTAGATTATGATAATAATCTTTACATTTGATATAGCGCCATATCACATGGTTGAAACGTCTCAAAGCGCTTCACAGGATACACTGTAAAGTTAATTTAAATCATTTGGAATCAGACTGCAATAGATTTTATATTCATTGTGTTCCTCTCTCCCTCCTCATTATTAGTTTCATTTGCAACAGAGAAGACTTTACATTTTCCAATACTCTCTTGGAGGAAATGCACTTCACCTCAATCAATCACCTTCTCAATCAATAAATACCATCTAGTTTATAAACTAAGAGATGAAAGGGTTAAAATTGTGTTCCTGCCACTCAATGCTCTTAACCCCCAGTGCCTTCAGGCCTCCATACATGTTTACTGCTCTGATTTGGAACCAGCGCCCTCCACACCACCCCCCTCCTCCAGTTATAATTGATCTCCTTAAATGACTGTGCCACACTCAATCAGCTTAAAAGCAACAAAGAAGTACTTTACAAGCTTCTCATATCTGATGTGCATTGGGGTGGGAGGAAGAGAAGAAATTTTAAATATCTTAATGGTTTAGAACCATGCCTCGCAATTATTTTTATGAATGATTAAACAAGCTAAACTAGTGCAAGCCTGGTTTTCCCCTTTGCTCCCTGCTTCCCTATTCATTTAACTACTTCACCTAGCTCCACGCATTCCCACTTTTCGCCCACAAAATATACAGTCAATTCACTTTACAGTATATTCTGTGAAGCGCTTTGAGATGTCTCGAAGACACGATAAGGCGTGATATCAACAACAAAGATTGTTTTGTGCTTTTATTCAAAAAGAGAAGAGACTTTCTTTCCATGATACTCTGACCTAATAAACATCTATCTATGGGGAAAGGTATTGCTCAGGGCAAGTAAGCAGATTAGAACATCACACATTAAAAAAGATGATCATTGTTCAGTCCCTCTAATGACCAAATATTCAACTCCCTCTTTAATAAGACAATTAAATAAAGCACAGCAATAGTCAAGGGGGAGGGGGGCTGAATCTTGGTGGGCGCTCCCTCTCCCAGATCCCTTGACAATATATCTTGTGAAGCGCCTTAAGACATCTCAACCTCATGATAAGACGCTATATCAAATGCAAGGGTTATCATTATTGTGCTTATCAATCGATTTATTTGGCAAATCGCTATCTAATTCCCTCTGAATTTGCTGCAACAATCTGCCTCAACCACTTTCCCCAGACAGTCCATTGCATATATTCACCATCTGTCTAAAGTAACCCAATCTGTACATAGTCAAAAACTAAACAATGTCTCCCTCCCAGACGTGGAAATTGAGCCCCATGTCACAGGGCCTAAACGGTTCCACTGCAATAAGAATACAATGGCTCATTTACCTCAAAGAGATCACTTTTTCGGAGATCATCCATTTCAGATATACAATCTTGCACCCGATTCCGTGGGGCCTCTCTTGGGTTGGTTTCAGCAGTCAATCTCGGGGTTGGTAAAGAGTGGTTCTCCTCGGGCTGGGGCAAGGCAATATTCTGCTGGTGACATTTCTGGCTTGGCTGAGCGGGTGGCCTGATCCTGTGGATCAATCTTTTTTTAATAATTTTATTCCGTAGTAAGCTTGTACGTAAAGTGTTAACGTGGGGTGATGGAACGTGCACAGCGCTCTGAGGACCTGGGTGGGGTGGGGGGGAGAAAAAAAACATTTTCATTGTAAACTCACTTAGAATTTCTGGAAGCTTATAAGGACATTTTGGGAGTTCATTCTAACTGTTAAGTACTTTCAAGTAATAATGATAATGATTCTTGCGTTTGATGTAGAGCCTTATTACGTTGTTGAGACATTTCAAAGCACTTCACAGAGTATATTGTAAAGTGCAGTGACTGTATTTTCTGGGCAAAATGCGGCAGCCAATTGTGCACAGCAGTGTCCCACAAACAGTTGTGTATTGAGTGACAAAATTATTATTATGTAATTTTTAGGATGGATTATAACCGTTGGAAAGCTTAATAATAATATTTATTATTATAATACTTAATAAGCAACTGTGTAATTTGTAGGCAAACAATCCTTGAATTTGATATAGGGTCTTATGTTATTGAGACGTCTCAAAGCGCTTCACAGAAATATAATGCAAAGTGAATTAATTGTATATTTTGTGAGCGAAACATGGCAGCTGATTTACACATAGCAGCATCTCACAGACAGCCAATGCAGTGAATGACTGATTTTACCTAAGGGATTGAGAACTTTAACAAATTACTAAAAAAAGAATGAAGGGCATGTTTTACCCAACATGGTACTTACCAGCCTGGACTTGCATCAGCTCTCGCATGGCTTGAAGCTCCTGTAGTATAGCTAGCAACATAGGTTGACAGTTACACATACAACAGTTATCGTTCATATGTGGCATCTCCCCTAAAGCATTGCCAAGACACAAAGTTTTTGGTTAGTTCTGTGCCACAAAGCATAGAAATAGCATTGGTTGGTACTGACAACCATAATAATAATAATTCTTGCCTTCGATATAGCACCATATCACATCTTCAAGACGTCTCACAGCGCTTCACAGAATATACTGTAAAGTGAACCCACTATGTATTTTGTGGGTGAAATGAACCGAGGCAGCCAACTGAACCCAGCAGCGTCCCACAAACAGCCGTGGAAATTATACTGTATATTGAATCTGCATAAATTACACATGTGCTTTTCATGATTCCAAAATGGAAATTAAATCCAAGAGGCATGCCAGGCCCTTTGAAAAACATTGTTATTTTAAACCCGCCGTTAGAAACATGCTGTACAATATTGCATCTGCAATCGCATCTGCAATTATTCATTGATCCAATGTCCACAACCTTCCATCAAATCAACAGGATCCTTAACTCGCGTTTTTAACCCAGTTCTAGAACCCCTTTTATTAACTTGGATGGCAACAGGATGCAGACAGACTAGTACGTTGAGGTCAGGTATGTTAAATGTTTTATCCTGGAGGTTATTGTGGCAAACAATGGTTTAGGACAAATTATCAATGGACAGGTCAAAAACAGTATATGCTTCACAAGTGATAGTTTTCTCTAAAAGTAAAGGGATAGAGTTTCAGGCAACAACACTCTGTAAGCAGACATATGTAATAGTTTATTCTTAGTATTCTGTGTTGGTTTGCTAAAGAATGCTTTCCAATGTTTATTGAGTGGAATGTAACATCATCAGTACATTATTTTGCATAAGTTTAACTGCAGAGGCCAAAAGCTTGTCAAACTTTATTGCCTTGGTTTGTAGGTTTTATACAAGATTGAAGTTATTGACCAGGAAAATTTCCCCTCTTCTACTTATCTTTTCCATTTAATTGCTTGTCACTTATTTGCCCTGGCACAACACACAATTGCAATTGTAGAGTGGTTACGAGCCTTAGAGTAGAAGGGGTGTGGGTTACAGCTCAAACAATCCTCAGAGCTGCTTTTAATACAAACCTTTGTCTACTCACTACTTAAATGTCTACCAAACTGCAGGAATGCTTTAGATATAACTTTAGATGTAGATTTAACCAATTTGTAGCTGGTTGCAAAGAGAACAATAGTTTTGATGACACCCATTGACTCAACAAAAGACGATGAGAATCAGAATGGCAACAAGCCCCATGACAGCTCAATAATAAGATGACACATTCCTTTGTATTGTTTCATGAATTGGGAACATTATTCTTAGTCTAAATGGCATATCAGGTTTAGCAATTTACCAGATGCACTGGAAAAGAACAGGTTCTTAATGCACCATAGAAACCATAAGCCACTAAAAAAAATAGCATTTTTCCTTGTTCCAGCCACCAAAACAAATGCTCCAGTTCTGAGCCAAGAATTTGAGGGCAATACAAATCAACCATCTAGCTAAGAAATAACACAATATTTTGATTACAGTCTGTTGCTCGCTCCTTGCATTCCATCTTCAAAAAATTCTTTGCTTCACATTGCCTCTCTCTCCTTACCCGTTAAAAACATACCTCTTTGACTGTGTTTTGGGGTCAGAATTCTCTACTATTAAAGAGTTTAGAGATGATCACCCTTCATGAAAGGCACTATACAAGTACAAGTTGCTGGGAGCAGATAATGTTGAAAGATTTCAACAGCTTCACCATGATCTTTGACACAATAGATAATGGCTATTAAAGTCTGACCGGCATTGCTTCTTGTACATAGGCATGATGTTTGCTACCTTCCACTCAGAAGCAACAAGGAAAGATGAAACAGAAGTTACGGGGAGCAATTATTTCTTCAGATAGACTGAGATCCCAAACACTATGGCAACAATCGGTAATTTTTCAAAGAGATTTTTTTTACTGCTAATTGTGATTTGGTTGATTGAGTTTGGTACTTGACCTTGGACTTCGAGGAACTTTTCAGAAAATGTATTCAACCCACCTTATCCATAGAGATGCAGTATTTGACTGGTGAGGAAGATGGGAAGTTGAGTATAATGCTTCAAATTTAGTTGGTTAACTTCTACCAATTATTGGAAGCTTGTGGGACTGACTACAAGATTTGTGCATCCATCTATCCACCGACCCACTGACTGACTGACCTACCTACCTATCTGTAAAACAAACAGGAATGTGCAGGACTGAACAAGACTGTTTGTGTCTATTTGACCTGTCCCAGAAAGGAAATATAACCTGGGATTGAACCAGGAACCTTTCGACCTTCAGTCCAGTGCTCTCCCAATTGAGCTAATCCAAAATATATATTCTATTACAGTAATAATACCAGACGACTGAAACTGAATGCCAACTGCCACTGGCACTCAAGCATGTCACTAGTATAAAGTATATTTCTGAAAAGCTAACCGCTGCTCCTGGTTATTTTTGTAGAAACTTTTAATTAAACATCATGAAGCTCTGACAACAACCGCAACATTTACACACTTGCATTTTGGACCAATAAAAAATTTAATTATACCATAAAAGCAGCCTCCTGCCTCTCGTAATCCTTAACAGTTTAGAGTCATTGGCACGGACACAGTATTGTGGTACTGCTGGCTTACCAGCAGGCATAAGAGATCTTTTTTTACTGCAGTAAAGCAATCTTACTATTCAGGCAACCCAAAGTCTTAGCTTCATTAAAATCCATTTGCTGAAGCGAAATGCATCAGTCACTGTGTTGAGAGGCTGGTCAGCAAACATTAAACTACAGTGTAAAAGTTGTGTCGATTTTTGGAACCCACACATGCTTAGTGAAGCTCTATAAAGTTGCCAATGCCATTTTAGACTAGGAAATATCAATCCTGTTTCCCACTCCCGGTTTAATAGGGAGGATCACAGAAAAGGGGAATTGAACTAAGTTTAACTTGAATTTGATATAGTGCATTATCACATCTTTGAGACGTCTCAAAACGCTTCACAGGATGTACTGTAAAGTGAATTGACTGTATCTATTCTGTGGGCGAAATGTGGCAGCCAATTGCACGCAGCAGTGTTCCACAAACAATCGTGGATTGAGTGACCACTTTTTTTTAAAGGGATTATTACCCCCAGACTAACAACTGTGTTCCTACTTGCTGCTAGGTAAGCAGAGGCGTGTGGAGTAAGAAAACGTGCCTAACATTTTGCACTGTCCGGGAATCAAACCCAGATCCTCGTTAGTGAGGCGAGCGCTCTAACTAATATGCTCCAGGGCTCCACGCATACACACATACAGGTTACCAAATGCATCAGAGAATACAATAGATAACCAATGTTTTTTCTCGTTAAGAACTTTATAAAGTGCAGTTTTATCAACCAATTAGATCCAGGACCCATTTTAATTACTTTTCTGTTTTGCATATTGATGTGAAATTTCAACTATTACTCGCTGTGTTTCTTTCAAATGAATAATGGCTGAAATTCCAGATTGTGTGGAGGAGGGATTTGGCTCACAGAATATGCTCTGTAGCTCTGCGTACACTGTATTCTTTTCTTCGTGGCTAGGAAAGAAACTGATTATCTACGGCATCTCATCAAAGGACCTTTAACAAAGATTAACATACCATTGTTGTCCAACATGCCTTGGATTCTTTCACTGTTTGGATCTGTGGATGGTTTAGATGTTCTGGAATCTTCCCCACTGTATTCTCCTAGAAAATAACTGGCCTGAGTTTGAACCTGGATATCCTTCCATAGAATGTTCTGGGACGAGTGGGGTTCATCGTGATGGGGAGGGGATTCGCTGGTGCTGCGTTGGGACCATGTAAACTCATGATCCTGGGGTTCCTGCTTGAGCCGGTCTCTGTCGAACATCAGAGGCTGATGGACATTCATGGTGTTAACCTGGTTGAATAAATGTCTCGTTCCAGACACTTGCTTCTTCTGTCCCTCAGTCGCATTAGCTACCAAACAATAAAAATATACTGGATTAGATGTTGACTTAAGCACACTGCACACAAGCAAAAGCATTGCATCCACCACAATTTGTGTTGCTGTATACACTAATGAGCATTTAGTAAATAATTTAGGGGTGAAACCAGGAAGCTTTTTTTCACGCAAAGGGTAGTGGAAATCTGGAACTCTCTCTCCGAAAAGGTTGTGGATACTGGATCCATTCAAATTTTAAGACTGAGGGGGATATATTTTTGTTAGATCAGAGTATGAAGTGATATGGGGCAAAGGCGGGTAATTGGTACAAATCAGCCATGATCTAAGAGAATGGCTGAACAGGCTCGAAGGGCTGAATGGCCTACTCCTGTTCCTATGTTCAACTCTGCATTTGTATACTTTTGCACACAAAAGACAGAGTTCTACCACCAAAACAACATTTCTAGTAGTATTCAGGAGGGGGTGGGAAATACATAATGTTTGAGATTCAAGATTGAGATTGATAGCTTTCTAAAGGATAGAGGGATTAAGGGATATGGGGATAAGGCGGGCAGATGGAATTAGGTTAGAAGATCAGCCGTGATCTTATTGAATGGCGAGGCAGGCTCGTGAGGCTGGATGGCCTACTCCTGCTCCTAATTCCTATTTTCCTACGAGATCCAGAAACCCTGGGTTTCTGGAACAAATGTAATGTCTGTTTCTGACCACTCAACCCATTTTACGCCAGCAGACAGACTCTCATTCCAGCTGGCTGGGATGTATTCAGGCCCGAGCCGCGCTACTTCTGATGGATGTTTAATTGAATTAAGATTAATCTGCAATGCTGATGTTTATTTTTTTCAAAGAAATTTGCTTAATAAGATTATAATGAAATCCTCTCTGTGCTTTAAATTTATTGAAAGCCCTTAAGAGGCATTTCTGGACAAACACCAGGAAGTGTTTCTTTACCCAGAGGGTAATCAACGACTGGAACAGGGTTATCAGGGTGTGGTTGAGGCCAAGACACTGGGACTAAAAGCAGCTTGATGCTGTGATGGGGGGGGAAACCGGTAAGGTGTTCTGGAGGGATGAGATTGGATGGCCCGAAAGGCCTTCATCGTCCAGACCGATCTTGTGGTTACTGATAACAGATTTGGTATTATTGTGAAAATAAATCTGGTAATCGCAATTTGATAAGGCGCTATATCAAATGCAAAGACTATTATTATTAATTTGTTCCACGCAGAGCTGCATTTGCTGTCACACTATTTCAATATGTGACAAAGCAACCCAATGCACTTGCCATCATATCTGCAATGCTAAATCAGCCACAGGTTATGATTAGAAATGCGTTTGTTCTCTTTTCATTATCAATGACAATAATCTGTATTCTTGTAAATAGTACAGATTAAACATAAAATAGACAACTTAAAGCACTTTACAAAATTAAATTGATTAAAAATGAAGGGAATTTTGTAACAGGCAAATGCAGCAGCCAAACTGTGCCAGCAACAACCCATAAATAGTAATGAATAGCCAAGTAATTTGATTTAGGGGATACATTTGGATGAGCAGGGAATACAAGACATTAGATGTATGCTCAGAAGGAATAAGATATACATTTATTTTATTTAAAACAAGATTTAAAAAGAATTAGTTCAGTAGATTTCAACTATGCACACAACCCATTATGATTTTCTCATTTCTACAATCCAAACAAAGCCATTGGCATCTAAAGCCCACTTCCCTGTCTGTGATGTCCCAAAATAAAACTAACTACTCAACAAGAAACAAAACTATCAGATAATACAATAGCTCCGAAATACAGGCATTTTACTCCGTTGGAAGAAAATGGTCAAAATAAAGTTACTGGTGAGACATACAGGTTCTCTCCCTCAGCAATTGCAGTTCACACCAGAGTTTAGGAACGGGATTCTTTGGTCATTGAGTACATTGTAGCACCAATGTGCCATGTCAAGAACACCAGTTCCCTGAAATCCTGATGGGAGTTGTCAAGGGAATGGTAGTGTCAGACTGCTTCAAAGTTTAAGATAAAATGGTCTGAAAGACCAAGGCAAGTTGGAAATTTGAACCTCAGGCTTTCTTTCTTATAGGCTTTTGAACAACCGCTTTTAAATCTCATATTTGATTGAATTTCTCTGTTGATCCTTTAAAAGGTTTGGATATGTAAGTCACTGAAACAAATCCAGGTATTATTGTTTATTTCTAACTTTAGGAGACGTAAAGCACTGCCTGTCACTGAGATATATTTTAAAATAATAACAATATTATTATATATTAAAAATATCAAACAAAAATGAATAATAGGAGAGAAACAACAACAAATTACATTTGTATAGCACATTCAGTCCACGGGCTGATTTCACTGTCACCCCCCACCTTCATTTTATCTGGCCCACCCACTCCCCCCATAACCTGGAAATGGTATGTTATATTTCTGGAAGGGAAACACAAAAATATTGCTTATGAGGCCCACAGACGTTCCTCAAATAGGGAATCCGGCCCTCAGCGGCCAAAAGCTTGGACCAGTCTGATTTACGCTGTCACATCTGTTGATTACTCCACACAAAATATTTGGTACGAGAAGTGCCTCTATTCACAGTATGCAGCGTCAGGGACAGAATAAATGCAGAGATACCATCTTTTGTAATATTTAGGATAATTTGACTATTCGGTATCTTTTCTCTAAGTAAGAAATGTTGATTTTCATATTACCAATTATTGGAGCAGAATTGGATTTCACAATTAAGAATCAGACCCTAAAACATTTTTTATTAACAAAGTATTTTTTATTTCTAAGGAGCGAAAGGACCCCAATTCAGATGGTCAAGGCTGTTCCAATCATGGCAGATCTTTGAATCCCATTTCCCGCCTTTTCTCCATTTCCCCCAATGCCCTTACGTCCCAAGTGATCTTTCATAAAGATTTCAAATGGCAATGATACACTCTGAGACCAAAACGTACCCAGGACAAACAGCGACTCATTCGTTCTGTCCACATTCTCACTGCTGCTGTCAGAATTTTTATCATCCTGATAATCTGTAACAAACGCCTCAGATTAGTACAGCGCAAGCCATTGAACACATAAGTTAAAAAATTCTGTATTGCAATGTGTCATGCTTTATGAAAGAAAGAACCCTTAGTTCTATTTTGATGGGGAAAAAAGTCCAACACTGAAATCCAAAGTAGAATACATTTTCACGGAGCAGGAAACTATGCTTAAAACTGAGCAACAAATTACAGCGCCTTTCATGTCGGGAGGACGTCCCAAGGCAATGAACAGTCAGGGATTTGGACCCAGGGAGGCTAGAGGGCGGCCGAAGGCAAGGTCGAAGAGGAGGGTCTTGAGACATGCCTTGTAGCAGGCAAGGGAGGCAACAAGCCGAAGGAAGTGTGGGATGGAGTTCCAAAGGGGGAGGCTGAAGGCAAGCACAATGATGGAACTTTTATAGACGGCAAAGCTATTGTTAAAGAAACAAATGTGTTTAATATAAAAAAGCAGTAGAATTTAACAATTTAGTCATACGTAGGCTAGTTTTCCTTTATAAAAATCTAATTTACAGTCTAGCAAAGAATATGTATGCATTTGTGGGGGAGGGAGGAGAAAGAAAAGATCATTTAAGACTTATAATACAGTAAAAACTCACATAAATCGTATTAGGAGGGACCATAACATTTAATGCCATAGGCAAAGTCCTAATTGCATAAGTCGTATAAAATCCGATTTCATCAATAATCTACACTACATTTATTCAGCCATCATAGTTCTAATGCTTCTTTGCTCTAATTTTTTAAAAGACTGATAGAATTCCCCACTTTTACTGCCATTGAAGCATTGGAACATTGACCATTCACAATGAAAACAGAGTCTGGGCCTTTATGTCATCTCTCTCTCTGTAAAGGTCTGGCCTCATATTCAGTCTCTCTCTCTCACACTGGCAGCACTCATCTCTCTCCTGTCAGCCCTAGTTTCTCTTCTTTCTCGGAGTCCCAGTCTGTCTTTTCTCTCTCTCAATCTAAGCCCTGGACCCTCTCTCAGCCCTACAACAACAACAACAAGATTCCATTTAGTCTCTCTGTCTCTGTTTTCTCTCTGACATCCCATCGGGGCCCAGATCTTTCTATCTCGGGGTCTCTCTCAGCCCCAGGCCTCTCTGAATCACATAATACTAATTCTAATACTTCTTGGCTCTGATAATTTAAGACTGATAGAAATACCCACTTTTACTGCCATTGAAACAAAACATGACCCAGGCCCTGGTCTCTGTCTCAGCCCCCGACTCTCTCTATATATATATGTATACATTCTTTCTCTCTCTCCCCCTCTCTCTGTATTATATTTCTCTCTCTCGCTCTCTGTCTCTCTCTCTATATATAAATTCTCTCTATATATTTATCTCTCTGTATATATATTCTCTCTATATATATCTATATATCTATATTCTCTCTCTCTCCCTATATATATCCTCTCTATCTATCTATTATATATACCCTCTCTATATATCTATATATATCCTATCTATGCACATATATATATATCCTCTTTATGTATACATACATATATATCCTCTCTCTATATATATAATCCTCTCTGTATATATATATCCTCTCTCTGTATATATCCTCTCTATATATATGTACTCTCTATGTATATATATATCCTCTCTCTATATATATCCTCTCTATATATATATCCTCTCTATATATATGTACTCTCTATGTATATATATATCCTGTCTCTATATATATCCTCTCTATGTATATATCCCCTCTATATATATCCTTTCTCTCTCTATATATATCCTCTCTATATATATATCCTCTCTATATATATGTACTCTCTATGTATATATATTCTGTCTCTATATATATATCCCCTCTATATATATCCTTTCTCTCTATATATATATCCTCTCTATATATATATGTACTCTCTATGTATATATATATCCTCTCTCTATATATATCCTCTCTATATATATATCCCCTCTATATATATCCTTTCTCTCTGTATATATATCCTCTCTCTATATATATGTACTCTCTATGTATATATATATATCTCCTCTCTATATATGTACTCTCTATATACACATGTCTATGCACAGATATACACGTGTATATCCTGACCATGTACCTGTATATGTGTGTATATAAATCTCTCAGTGTATGTATCTCGGCCCCGATTTCTCACCTTCATTCACGCGTTTAAAGCTCCGCGATTTCCTGCTCCTTTTCCTCTGGGAAAACTCCATGCCCGGCTCCCGGGGCCGGGCCGGGCCAGGCCAGGCCAGGCCGCCGCTGGGCGCCAACAGCCGGAGAGACGAATTAGCGAATTTTTTTTTAAAAAAAAAGGTTTATAAAATGTTTGTTTTTAACGAAAGAAAAACCGCCAAAGAAACGGTCGGGGCTGGAGCGTCAGTGCGCGGCGAGGGGAGCGCCGCCAGCAACACCGGCTCGCACACTTGGTTCCGCCCGACAATTGTTCCCCCCCCCACACCCCACACCCCTCCCTTACACTGAACACCCCATCAGGACAACACGCCTACAGCACCTCACACCAATGTCTGGCTCACAGGACTCGACACATCATGCCCAGAAAACACACAGTCACTACACCTTACAGCACCTCCCGCGAAGCGCTTTGAGACGTCTCGAAGACGTGATAAGGGGCGGCTGAGTCAAGTGCATGGATGATTATTATTATTATTATCTCTCAGTTTCACTCACACACAAAACACCGTCACGACGCTGCACAGTGTAACCTGTGAAGTGCTTTGAGACGTCTCAAAGACATGATGAGGCGCTGTGTCAAATGCCAGGATTATTATTATTATCGCTCGCTCTCAGACTCTCTCACACTCTCTCTCGCACACACAAAACACACGGTCACTACACTTTACAGTGTATTCTGTGAAGCGCTTTTGAGATGTCTCGATAAGGCACTATTATCGAGAAGTAAGAAGTAATATTAATTTTTTATAAAAATCAAATTCAAAATATACAAATGCAATTTACGATTGTTGTGTACAACAACAACAAGGTTACATGTGTATAGCGCCTTTCACGTCGGGAGGACGTCCCAAGGCATAGGACAGAGTACAGCATTCCAGACCCGAGCTGGGGTTGGGGGGGAAGGGAGGGGAGGGGAAGGGGGGTGGCCGATGGCCTGGTCGAAGAGGAGGGTCTTGAGTCGGGTCTTGATGGAGGCTAAGGAGGGGGCGAGGCGGAGAGATTGGGGGATGGAATTCCAGTGGTTGCGGACAGAGTGGCCGAAGGCTCTCCCGCCAATGCTGGGGCGGGGGATCGGTGGACGTGGAGCAGCCGGAGTCGGCTGAGCGGAGGGAGCGTGCGGGTTGGTAGGGGGTTAGGGGGTGGCAGAGGTAGGGTGGGGCGAGGCCATGGAGGGCTTTGCATGTGAGGATCCAGGATCTTGAACTGGATCCTCTGAAGGATAGATCCTCTGATTGTTGTTTACTCCTTGTTAGATTAAGGTAACAATAAGCATTATGGGATGATAATCATTTTATTATTAGTTGACAATAATATTATTATGATAATAAGGATTATTAGATGATAATAATCTAATTAGATGACAATATTATCATTATAACAATAAGGATTATTATTAGATGATAATAATCTAATTAGACGACAATATTATCATTATTATAACAATAAGGATTATTATTAGATGATAACAATAGGAATTATTAATTATTATTAATAAATATTCTTATTATTATAGGATCAAATTGCACCAGGAATAATACTAACATTGTCACACACACAGACACAGGAGATTGCAGAGTATATATGTTAGAAAATAAAACAGAGGTGTATTATTATTATTACTGGTGAATGGACAGGCTTCAGGGGAGACTAGGCCCAAGCGTTGCTAGGGGGCGCTTGTTGCTATGGCTCCGGTGCCCTCTGACCCGGCGGCTCTGACTGACGGAGAGACAGACACAGAGAGAGAGAGGCCCGGGCCTGGCTGGCAGGCCTCCCGGGGGCAGAGAGACAGAGACAGAGAGAGAGAGACTGACACAGAGAGACAGACAGAGAGACAGACAGACAGAGACACAGAGAGACAGGTAGACAGAGAGACAGACAGACAGACAGACACAGCGACACAGACAGCGAGGCCATGGACATCCTCAAAGCCGAGATCGCCAAGAAAAGGAAGCAGCTGGAGGAGAAGGAGCTGATTGGGGTGAGAGAGGCCACAACTCCGGCTTCGAGAATGGGCCCCGGAGCCTGAGCCTGAGTGGGGTGGGGGGGGGGGCTGGTGGGGTGGGGGGGGGGCTGGTGGGTGGGGGGGGGGGCTGGTGGGGGGGGGTGGAGGGGGGGCTGGTGGGGTGTGAGGGGGCTGGTGGGGTGTGAGGGGGGTGGTGGGGTGTGAGGGGGGTGGTGGGGTGTGAGGGGGGTGGTGGGGTGTGAGGGGGCTGGTGGGGTGTGAGGGGGGTGGTGGGGTGTGAGGGGGCTGGTGGGGTGGGGTGTGAGGGGGGGTGGTGGGGTGTGAGGGGGGGTGGTGGGGTGTGAGGGGGCTGGTGGGGTGGGGTGTGAGGGGGGTGGTGGGTGTGAGGGGGCTGGTGGGGTGGGGGGTGGTGGGGTGTGAGGGGGGGTGGGTGGGGGTGGGGAGGTGGTGGGGGGGGGGGGTGGGGTGTGAGGGGGGTGGTGGGGTGTGAGGGGGCTGGTGGGGTGGGGTGTGAGGGGGCTGGTGGGGCGGTGGTGGGGGGTGAGGGGCTGGGGGGGCGGGGGGTAGTGGTGGTGGGGTGTGAGGGGGCTGGTGGGGCGGGGGGGTAGTGGTGGTGGGGTGGGGTGTGAGGGGGCTGGTAGGGCGGGGGGGTAGTGGTGGTGGGGTGTGAGGGGGCTGGTGGGGCGGGGGGGTAGTGGTGGTGGGGCGGTGGGGGGGGAATGTGGATCTGGGCTGTGGAATATTAATTGGGATGTTTTGATAATTAATCAAATAAAAGCGCCTTTGAGACATCGCAACGACGTGATAAGGCGCCGTATCAAATGCGGGAATTATTATTATCGCTAACCTCGCATTCGACACAGCCCCTTATCACGTCGTCGAGACGCCTCGAAGCGCTTCACAGGGCACACTGTAAAGGTGGAGTGACTGTATTTTGTGGGTGAAACTCGGCAGCCAGTTGCGCGCCGCAGCGTCCCCACAGCGCAACCGTGGATTCACCAAATTGTTAGCATTTCATTATTCATTTTGACGGGATTATGACCACCGCAAAGCCGTCCGCCAATCGACTAACAACCGTGTCCCTGCTTACTGCTGGGGAAACAAGGGACAGCAGATATCGATAAATATTGGAGAAAGAAGGGTGTCAGAAAGGGGTTTGGAGAAAAGGTGGGGAAATGGGATTAAAATACCTACCTTGATCTAATCAATGGCCATTCAGTCCATTTAAGAACAGGCTGACGACTTTAATTTTGTGCTACAGGAGTCAAAGAAGTACTTCAAACGGAGTGAACTGGCCAAAAAGGAAGAGGAGGCGTACATGGAAAGATGTGGCTATAAGGTACTCGGGGTTTAAATTGTTGGGGGAGTTAACAAACTCGTTCGAATTGTCTGAGTCTGTCAGCGTCTTGAGTGTTGGCTTTGCCTCGGGCTCTCGCCTACAGATCAAGAGGGATTTGGGGTTCAAGCCCCCACGTCGGTACTTTGAGGCTGACGCTCCGGGAGCGTTACACTGTTAAAACGTGGTCCCGTCTGCCTGTTTGGGTCGACGTTAAAGATTCCACGACGCGTTTCTCCCAGTGTCTTGGCCAACAATCGGTCCTCCAGATTAAGTTAGTCGTTCACTTCGTGGCAGGTCGTGTTTGCCTGCGGACACAAGGTGATCGCACTTGACAGCAGTTGCATGTGAGGCGTTTCGAGACGTTTTATAGGTGCTATGAATACAGCGTTGTCGTTATAACCTGTTCTGCAATTGTGAGAAACTACAATAAAGCTTTCCTGTGAAACTTGTGTCAATAGGTTGTAGAGGAGGAATCGACAGGAAAGGTATGGCTCAAGCACAGACTGACGCTCCTTTTGGTTTGGGCTGCCACCAGCAGCCGCGTGTGCACTAGCTGTTGCATGTTGAGAGGCAGGGTTGAGGGCTGAGGGACTGCTACTCAGCTTTCCGAGTCGCGGGAACGGCGCTCCAACCTTACCTGGATCTGTTTTGGGGATCGGAGGAGGGTGGTCTCTCCTCGAGTGGGGCTGACACGCTCCCAGATTCCTTAGTTCCCGAGATCCGCGCGGAAATCGTGGCCAAAATCGAGACAAGCCCGTGGAGGGAAACACGTGCGGAGCTGACAGCACTGTAACGCCGCAATGCAAGCCAGCTCAGTGCGTCTATTGCAGGTCGCCATTTGGAACATCGCCGGCTACAATAGCGACACTTAAAGAGGCGTGCATGAACACGGGAGGAGGTGTGGTATTGTGCACCTGGAATGCAATGCAATGGACGCCTGCCTTTGTTTGCATCGGCCCTTGTTACAACTACTGTACTCTTATCGCCTGTTGAATGCTAGTATTGCAAGTTCTTCCTGGTTTGCATCGTTGGTTCAGGCATGTGTTTTGGTGACGTGACAGTGAAGCAAGGCCAGCATGCAGGGCAGGCATGGATGTGCACTCTGTATATTTCCGCATCTGCATCGTGTTTCTATTGCAGCAAGTTGTGTCAGCCTGGCTCAGAAGGTTGTGGGTTCAAGCCTCATGTCGCAGGCTGGGCTGACGGTTCGGTGTGGTAGTGGGCTGAGCGATGCTGTCCTTTGGATCAGACGTTAAACCGAGGTCCCGTCAGCCTGTTGAGGGTGATGTTAAAGATCCCGCGAAAAGGGAGTTTCGCTCTCCAGGCCAACAATACCCCCAAATATAAATTGGTCACTTACTGCATGGCTGTTTGTGGGAGACTGCTGTGCACAAACTGCCACGTTTGCCGACAGAACGCACAGTCATTATAGTACATTAAATCCTGCAAAGCACCTTGAGACGTCCTCCTGACGTGAAAGGTGCTTTATCAAATATGAGGATTCTTACTCCGCACTCCTCTGTTTACCTGGCAGCAAGTAGGAATCTGATTATCAGTCTTTCCGGGGTAATAATCCCTCCAAAAAAAATAATTATTTGGTCAATCAATCCACGATTGTTTGTGGGACACCGATGTGCGTAATTGGCTGCCGCCTTTTGCCCACAATATAAACAGTCACTCCATTTTACAATATATTCTGTGAAGCACTTTGAGACTTCCCATTGAATTGATAAGGCGCTGTATCAAGGATTATAATTATAATGAGCAGCTGTTGATTGCCGGATAAGATTATACTGCGGGAGCGTTGGAAATACCTTTCTTATTCTAGCATTCGATTGGAAACCTAATGATGGGTTAGTGTGTGCTGTGGAGAAGTTGTAACCTTGGTGCTGCTCCTGTGCAGGTGCATTCAAACACAAGCGAAGAGGAGAAGCCGTCAGCATCAAACCCAGTGCTGGAGCTGGAACTCGCAGAAGAGAAGCTGCCAATGACCCTCTCCAGGCAAGAGGTAGGATTCCACCTTTGTCAGTATTGCTCTCTCCGCATTCTCTTGAACAGAGTCTCGAAGCAACATCAAATGAAGGGATTATTGTACATCGCGCATATACGTAAAAATAATAATAATTTGGTCACTCAATCCACTGCTGTTGGCGGAACACTGCTTGGGCTAAATCAAATGCAAGGCTTATTATTATGAGTGAAAAAAGAGGGATTTTCACTCTCTCCTCACGGGCAGCAGGTGGCGTTACTGTGCCATTCAATAATATTTCAGAACAATGTGAGTGTTGTCTGTCGCTCATGTATTCAGTGAGAGCTTTGAGATGCCTCCCACCCTCCCTTCCCCCATTCCCCCCCATTTCAAAGACCCCCACGTTAAATGCAAGGATTATTAGGAGGGCTGTTACTCTGTCAGAAGGAAAGAGGAGCAGTTCGGTTGGATTTTGTGCGGCCAAAATACCACCACGTGACCCATCTCCGCCTTTCTAGGTGATCCGAAGACTGAGGGAAAGAGGCGAACCCATCCGCCTGTTCGGAGAAAGTGAATACGAGGCATTTCAGCGTCTCCGAAAGATAGAAATCTTAGCTCCGGAGGTTAACAAGGTATGCATTTCACAACCGCGATTGCATGTATAAATTGTGGAGTCCTGTACTGTAGTGGTTAGAGCACGCGCCTCGCAAGCGAGAGGACCCGGGTTCGATTCCCGGGCCGAGGGATGCCTAAGGCAAGTTTCCTTACTCCTGTCGCCTGTTTACCTAACCGCAAGTAAGAACCCAGTTGTTAGTCGATTGGCAGATCACTTTCCTGGGCTAATAATCCCTTCAGTATATTCTGTGAAGCGCTATAGGACGTCTGATGTGATAAGGCACTATATCAAATGCAAGGATTTGAGTTGGTTTCTGTGCTGTAATATTCGGTATAATTTTATGTCATTTGTTTGTTCTTATCAATCCCATTACTGTGTGTCTTTTAAGTTGCACTTTCCACGTCCTTCCTTCCTGTGTTTCATATCTTATCCTTGTTAATCTTTTATTTCCAATTTTTCTTGGTGGCAATGACAAACACAAACAGAACAATTTGTCTACAGTTTTGTTCCCTTAAAACCACCTGAACAAGTCCGGGGTGGGGGAAGGAGCTCAGATGTGAACATTAATATGTAACACACAAACACAGGAATCTTTCAACGAATCCACTGCTAATTGTCTAACGCATGCCCTGTGATGACTTTTGTACTTTACACGAAGGGCGTTATATCAATGCAAGTGGTTAGAGCCCTCGCCTCGCAAGCGAGAGGACCTGGGTTCGATTCCCAGGCAGGGTGAAACCTCAGGCAAGGTTCCTTACTCCCTTATTTACCTAGCAATAGGTAGGAACGCAGATGTTAGTCGATTGGTGGATCGCTTTCCCGGGAGTAATAATACCTTCAAAGAAAAAAGAATAACAATTTGGTCATTTAATCCACCACTGTTTGTGGGACGCTGCTGTGGGCAATTGGCTGCTGCAGTTTTGCCCACAAAATACACAGTCACTACATGTTACAGTATATCCTGTGAAGCGCTTTGTGACGTCTCAACAACGTGATAGGGCGCTGTATCAGCTGCAAGGATTATTATCATTATTATTTCTGCCTCTCTTGCTCCACAGGGTCTGAGGAATGACCTGAAGGCTGCTCTGGATAAGATAGACCAGCAGTACCTGAACGAGATCGTGGTCGGGCAGGAGCCTGGTGAGGAGGAGGGGCAGAATGATCTGAAAGTTCACGAGGAGAACACCACGATAGAGGAGCTGGAGGTAAGGACACTCAATGACCCACCTCTCCCGTGGGTTTCCGCAAACCCAGCTGGCCCCCCCCGCAAAAAAAAAAATTGTGACTGTTCTTTTCGGCTAACTTTTGACCTGAAACGTGCAGTTAAACTTTTTTTTTGTCTCAGTCCGGTGTCGTGACACATGCGGAAACCCATCACCGCGCTTAAGAGCATCCAAGACTGAAGTCTTTCCTCCTTTTAACCGTGCTTACGGTCCCACCTCCCCCCCCCCAGCTCAGCGTTGAGCTCTGATGCTGTTAAGCGCTCCGAGACGCTGCCCCAAATAAAGGGTGCTATTGAAACACAAGTTGCGGTTGTGGTTCTTCTTTTATTCTACGACATATTTTTAAAGATTTTCTTTACTTCACCGCAGGCCTTGGGGAGGACATCTTTGGGTCAGGGTAACGACCATGAAGATATGGAGATTATAACCAAAGTGCTAAGGGTAGGGCTATCTGCCGTCCAACGATTAACTGTGTCTTTGCACCCAGATCAGATTTGCTCCCCCACTGGAGCTCTCTACTCTAACCCCATTCCCTGCTCTCTCTCTCTCTCTCTCTCTCCCCATGGTGTCTGTGCTGGGGCTCGCTCCCCCACTGGAGCTCTCTACCATAACCCCATTCCTTGTTCCCTTTTCATACCTTTAATCTGCACAGTTTATCAAACTCTCCTTTCAATGATTAAATTTTTAACAATGTAAACGATTGCCTCGGCACCCATAGCAAACTTGGCGGGTAGCGCACACCAAGAATGTCTTCCCCCTGACGTGTGTCTTCGCTTTTGCGTCCTCCTGGTCCACAGTTTATTCTGGGTGTGTGGGCAAAGGACCTGAACAGCAGGGAGGATTACTCTAAATGCAGCGTGCAGGGGAAGCTGGCCAGCGCCACCCACAAACAGACCGAATCCTACCTAAAGCCTCTCTTCAGGAAACTTCGGAAAAAGGTGAGAGCAATGTCCTTTTTCAGCAGGGCAGCATCTTCCTTTCCTCATTGCCCCCACCCCCCCCGTTCCATTTTCCTGTGAAGGATTATAATGATAATAATCCTTGCATTTGATACAGCGCCTTATCACGTTGTTGAGGCATCTCAAAGCGCTTCACAAAAATACTGTAAAGTGAATTTTGTGGGCGAAACGCGGCAGCCAATTTGAGCACAGCAGCGTCCCCACAAACGGTCGTGAAATGAATCACCAGTTTTATCTGGGGCATTGTCGGCCAGGACACTGGGAGAGAGAAAGTTCCTTCTCTTTTCGAATAGCGTTTAACGTCCACCTGAACAGGTACAAACGAGGACCTCAGTTTAACGTTTCAAACGCAGGACGTCGCCTCCGACAATGCAACCCCTCCCCCCCCAGCACTGTATTGGAGCGCCAGTTTAAAACTTAAACCCACAACCGCCTGACTCCCAGGCGAGAGAGAGCGCTACTGCTGAGCCAAGCTGACTTAAGGCTCCTGGTGACTCACCACAACTGCTCAAAGTGGCTCAGTCAAAACAAACCGTTCTTTATATTGTTATATTCTTTATAACCTCTTCTTTACAGAATTTGCCACAAGACATCAAAGAGTCCATTACCGATATCATCAAATTCATGTTGCAAAGGGAGTACGTCAAGGTGAATATGACGTACTAAACATAAAGCGCTGAGAGGAACTTAAGAGACGCCATCCTTACCTGCTCTTTCCTCCACCCCCCACAACCGCATCCTGACTGCAGTACAACTCGTATTGCCCATGAAACTCGAATCACAATTGTTAGCTGCAAAGCTTAGGATTTGAGACCCGTTGGTGTTAGGACTAGGTTTCCAAGGGAAGAAGGGACAGTTCTTGTGGAGTCCCTGTAGTGTAGTGGTTAGAGCACTCGCCTCGCAAGCGAGAGGACCAAGCGAGGGTTCGATTCCCAGGCAGAGCAAAACCGTAGTCAAGTTTCCTGACTCCACACAAACGCCTCTGTTTACCTAACAGTAGGAAAGCCATCTTCCAATCGACAAACAACCAGGTTCCTTACTTACCACAAAGTAAACAGAGGCGCGTGTGTGGAACAAGGAAACTTGCTTTGGGTTTGCAGCCTAAAACTAGAGGTAAATTGCAGTCGGCAGGGCCAGTTTCTCCCCACGGGTTAAGCTGTGTTCATGGCGGCTGAACGTGCCGGGTGGCTGAGCGCACGCAGTCTCCCCTCTCGTCGCTGACCCCCCTCCCTCTCCTCCCCACCGCAGGCGAACGATGCTTACCTGCAGATGGCCATCGGCAACGCCCCCTGGCCCATCGGCGTCACCATGGTGGGCATTCACGCTCGTACAGGCCGAGAGAAGATCTTCTCCAAACACGTGGCCCATGTGTTGAACGACGAGACTCAGCGCAAGTACATCCAGGTAACGTCACCGTTAACCCCAGCCTCAGCTCAGGCACACAGCCCCGCACAGCGCCATAGGAACAGGAGGAGGCCATTCAGCCCCTCGAGCCTGTCCCGCCATTCTATTAGATCATGGTTGATTTGTACCTCAACTCCCAATTACCCGCCTATCTCATCACCACGCCTGAGGGTATCCAAACCAAACTGAGAATTCCGCCTCCACCTGGGAGATTCCAGAGATAGATTGTTGTTAATAATTAATAATGATTTATTATTTAAAATATTTTAAAAATATTTGAGACGTCTCAAAGTGCTTCACAGAATATACTGTAGAGTGACTGTGTATTTTGAGGGCCAAACGCAGCAGACAATTGCGCACAGCACTGCCCCGTAGACAGTCGTGGATTCAGTGACCACGTTTTTTCATTATTACTGCCCGGAAAGCGATCCACCAATCGACTAACAACCAGATTCCTACTGACTGGTAAACAGAGGAGTGTTTGTGTGTGCGTGTGTGTGTGTGGAGTAAGGAAACTTGCCTAAGGTTTTGTGCTGCCCGGGAATCGAACCCAGGTCCTCTCGCCTGCGAGGCGAGCGCTCTGACCACTGAGCTACATGACTCCACCCTGAAAGCCAATCACACCGACTTAAATTTACCCAATTGATGTTCTTCCAGGGGCTGAAGAGGCTGATGACCGTCTGTCAGAAACAATTCACAACCGACCCGTCCAAGTGTGTGGAATACAACGCACTGTGAGCCGCCGAGGCCCGGACAGAACACTCTCGTGGGATTTTCCGGATTTCGGGAAGTGGAGCCTGCTTTGGGATTGGCGGGTCACAGAGCCTCTTCGGCGCTCGCTCCCTGTCCGTGGATTCCTTACCTTTTCAACACCGTAGACCTCGCTGGGATTTCAGTCTGGGTTCGAAAAGCAGCGAGTATCATCGCTACCCCACCCTTACAATGCATTTTCTTTATTTTACTAAAATAAATGCTAGCGATACTGTAAACAGCGCCGAGCCTGTCTGCCCGCCCTCGGCCCCTTCAATCAGACATACAGCGTAGCGCAAATGCAGGTTTACATTGACCTTTCACGCCTGGCTTCTGGGTCCGAACAGAAATTTGCAAACTGCAGCACTTTCAGGCTTAGTTGGGAAGCCGGCCCGAGTAAAAAAGGCAAGACGGAAAAATTTATACTCTTTTGTAAAGAATGTTTCAATGCTCGACGCAAGTATTTTTAATCCGCCGGGAAATCTGTGTTCTGGGGAAGTGGAACACAAAGTGTCTGCATTAGGGAGGCCGCAGAGATTTGGTTTATATATTTGTATGTGAAGTGGGGATGTTATTAAATGTTTTCAATCTCTGCTTTGGATGGAACGGTTTTGTGAACTTGGATTGTGTGTCAGCCCGGCTCGGTGGTCGCTCTCTGTCGCTCTCTCTTGCCTCTTGAGACAGAATTTTGTGGGTTCACACCCACCACACCGGAACTCGGAGTCACAGTGATGCTCCAATACAGCGCTGGTGGGGGTGGGGGGGGGGGGGTTGCATTGTCGGAGGTGCCGTCTTTTGACTGAGTTGTTAAACTGCCCGTTCGTGTTAAAGCTCCCGCGGTGCTATTCGAAAAGAGGAAATTTCTCCTGACCTGACCAGCAATCCTCCCAAATAAATACAAATTGGGTCACTCACTCCATGGCTGTTTGTGAGACATTGCTGTGTGCAAATTAGCAGCCAAGTTCAGCCACAGAACACGATCACCACGTTTTACAGTATATCCCACAGAATACACAAATCAATCCACTTTACGGTGTATCCCGGGAAGCGCTTTGAGAACGCCTCAATGACATGATAAGGTGCGATAACAAACGCAAGGATTATTATTATTATTACTACCCTGTGAAGCGCTTTGGGACATCATCTCGATGTAAAAGAAAGGAAATTTCTACGTCGAATATTATCATTGAAAGTCTATAAACAAGACGAGCAAAAAAAAAAACACATCCTTACGGGATGTGTAAAACAACTTGCATTTGTGTAGTGACATTCACGCAGGTGAGGGTCCCATTCAAACCTCACTTGATGAGATCAGTAACTTGGCTGTTGGATTCAACCCGAGCTGGTAATTGAATTACCGCTTCACTGGCATTTAGTGACAAATAAATCCTTTGTGTCTTTTTTTTTGGGGGGGGGTGGAATCCTACCCTTTTCAAATTAGATCGTATTTCCTATATAAGCCCCTGTGGTTCCTGATAAACGTGGGACCACTTCGCCAAGAAATGTTACGCTTGGCTCTGGATTCCTTTCTTTCCAAAAAAAGCCGGGATAAAAATAGCTGCTTTATTTTGTCCCTCTGCCCGTTCGTTCTATTATCAATTCAGCCATTCATTGTAACGAGAAGCAAACACAAGAGCCCTGAAAATAGCTCTCAACACAGGCACAGTGCTGCCGGGTTTCGCCCACAAAATACACAGTTGTTTCACTTGAAATGTGAAGCGCTTTGAGACGCCTCTCAACGCTATATCAAATGCAAGGATTGTTGGTATATCCTGTGAAGCGTTTTGAGACATGCTCTCAACCCCATCTCTTCCCTCTCTCCCCCCACCCGTCCCCCTTCCCCGGCTCGTTGTCTGAGACTGACTGTTCCCTTGACTCGCTCCGAGACTTTACATAAACACAAGTTGTTGGCGTTGGCACATTGAGCTCACAATCCAGCCCGACATTATAACACAGCAATAATAATAATAATCTTGCATTTGACACACAGCACTTTATCGCGTCTTCCAAGGTGCCTCAAAGCGCTTCACAGGATCTACCGTAAGGTGCAGTGACTGCATATTTTGAGGGCAAAGCACGGCAGCCAATTGCGCACAGCACAAACAGTCGTAGATTGAGTGACCACGTTTTTTTTTGAGAGATTGTTACCCCCGGAAAGGGATCCGCCAATCGACTAACAACCGGGTTCCTACTGACTGCCGGTAAACAGAGGCACACGCGTGTGTGTGTGTGTGTGTGGAGTAAGGAAACTTGCCTAAGGTTTCGCCCCACCCGCCCGGGAATGGAACCCGGGTCCTCTCGCTCGCTCGCGAGGCGAGCGCTCTAACCGCTGCGCTACAGGACTCTTAGTATGACGGCAAAAGCACTGTTGAATTCTTCAAGGGCATAACTGAAGCTCATGAGACAATAGTTTAGTCAGTGAACCAGCTGGGCTTGACAGATGGCACAGGAGTTGGTCAAGGCCAATGTTTTCTGCGGTTTCTCCCCCCGGCTGCCTGAGCCGTGCTTGGCTAACCACCCCTGTCGGACTGTGTCTCGGGGAGTAAGATTCGGAGGAGGGTACGGCTTCAGGTGTTGATCGCAGCAGTAAATTTGCGAAGGAGGAAGTGGATTCTTGATGGAAACCAGATGTCACAACACCCTCCACGCGGAGACGCTCCAGAGACCTGCTACTGGCTTCAGATACCGCGCACAGCTGCAGATTGTTACATAAAAATGCCGTGAGAACATATTTTCAGACTTGGGAGCTCCAAAGGGCTCCATTCCACGAATTGCAACGCCATGGAGTTACAGTCACTGGGGACAGGTTTAATTATAAACCCAGTCGGTTTGTGAACAGTTCATTCTGCTTCCCGCACTTATCTAGTGTGTCGTCGTGGTTAGAGCGCTTACCCCGCGAGCGAGAGGACCCGGGTTCGATCCCCGGGCGAGTCAGGGCGAAACCTTAGGCGAGTCCCCTTACTCCACACACACACACACCTCTGTTTACCTGCAGTAAGTAGGAACCTGGTTGTTAGTCGATTGGTGGATCGCTTTTCTGGGGGTAATAATCCCTTCTAAAAAAATAATAATTTGGTCACTGAATTCACGACTGCTTGTGGGACGCCGCTGCGCTCAACTGACTGCCTGGTTTTGCCCACAAAGTACACAGTCACTACGCTTTACATTATTCGGCGAAGCGCTTTATAATAATAATCCTTGCATTTGGTATAACCTTATCACGTCCTCGAGGCGTCTCAAACTTTACCTACTTACTGCCGGGTAAACAGAGGCGAGCGGAGTAAGCAAACTTGCTGATGGTTTCGCCAGGTCCGGGTCCTCTCGCTTGCGAGGCGAGCGTCTAACCACTGCGCCGCAGCGCTCAATCTTTTGAGACGTTTCAACGACGTGATAAGGCGCTATAATCAAATGCAAGGATTAATATTATTATACACAGTGTAATGTATTTCCCACGAACAATCTATCCCTCTCTTCCGAGGGAAAAGGCAAGGCCAAGCCGTCACTTACGTGTGTGTTTCCTGGTGAGAATAAGAGGCCGTGGACTGAACAGTCACTGGATCCAGTACATCTGGCAAGCTTTTTTTTTGTTTCGCTCCTTTTTTTTGCCAAATGTTTCAGGGTCTGAACAAGGGCTGTGTTTATCCAGGGTTTCAATCGGCCCCGGGTCGCTGAGCAGCAAAATTCCTCACGGTTTCGAGCCTTAAGAACGTTGCCTTTTTGATATTAAAAAAAAACAAGACCCTCAAGCGGCGTAAGATTCGGAGGGCTCTTAAATTTCAGTTGGGGTTTTGTGGCTGAAATTGCGGATGACACCCAACTCTACCTTTCCTCCTCTACTCTCAACTCCACGACCCCCGATGTCCTGACAGCCTGCCTGTCCGACATCGAGTCCTGGACGAGAGACAACTTTCTTCAGCTCAACGTGCAAAAAACCGAGGCCCTCCTGATTGGCTCACGTCAGCGCCTCCGCACCTCAGGCGCTGACACCATCAGCATCCAAGGCTGCACTCTCCACCTCTCAAAGCCAGTCAGGAACCTCGGGGTTCCCCTCGACCCTGAGCTGTCCTTTCTCCCTCACATCCGCACCACAACTGGCACCGCCTTCCATCACCTACGGAACATCGCCAGACTACGGCATTACCTCACCCCTCACGCTGCTGAAACCCTGGTTCACGCCTTTGTCACCTCAAGGCTGGACTATGGGAACTCTCTCCTCGCGGCCTTCCCGCCACCTCCCTCCACAAGCTGCAGGTCATTCAGAACTCTGCAGCTCGTGTACTGTCCCGCACCAGGCTTCGGGACCACATCACTCCCACCCTCGCTCGCCTCCACTGGCTCCCCATCCCCCAGAGGATTGATTTCAAGATCCTCATCCTCACCTACAAGGCCATTCACGGCCTTGCTCCCTCCTACCTCTCCAACCTACTATCCCCCTACCTACCTGCCCGTACCCTCCGTTCCTCCGGCTCCGGTCTGCTCCACGTCCCCCGCCCCAACCGCCCTACTATCGGTGGTCGGGCCTTCAGCCTCTCAGCCCCGAGGCTCTGGAACTCCATCCCCCAGTGCCTTCGCCGCTTCCTCCCTTTCCTCCTTCAAGGCCGGTCTCAAAACCTTTCTCTTTGACCGTGCCTTCAGCTCCCCTCTCGACTCTCTTCCTCCTCCTCGCTCCCTCCCTTCCCTCCCCTCACCCTGACCATTTCCCCCTGCTCGGGTCATGACCCAACTGTGCAGCGCCTTGGGACGTCCTCCTGACGTGAAAGGCGCTCTATAAATGGAATCTTGTTGTTGTTGTTGTTGTTAAAGGCTTTTTTTTTTTGCCAAATTTCCCGGAGCGACTTAAAATTATAAGGTGAGGGACGGCCTTTGGGCTTGAGACCACAAGGCTCTCTGACATTTCAAGGAAAAAGCTCGCCAGACTGTGCTCCCAAAGCTACCACCAATAATTATCCCCCACTCTACACGCTAGAATTCCCCCCGCACCCCCACTCCTACCCATCCCAAGCCTCGGCTCTTGCCAACCTGCGCCCCATACTCTCCTGAATGGGGTGAAGCAGGGTGCCCTCCTGGTTCTTCCAAAGAGACTGCCTTCCATTCCAGACACTGGGAAATTTCCACGTGCGGTCGGCGTACATATGTGGAACTCTTCCGTCTACTTGGACCCCTGTGGCTCTGCATCGCTTTTGTGTCACACGCAAATATACAGTCAATTGACTTTACAGGATATTCTGTGAAGCGCTTTTGAGTCGTATCAGCGACGTGATCAAGCTCTACATCAAATGCAAGTTATTAGTTATTTATCTTTAAATCACTGGAAGACGTACCTCTTCGACCGTGCATCTGGTCTCTCGCTCAGCGTCCAGCCCCCACCCACTGCACAGAGTTCCCGGGAGAAGAGCGCTCCACAAACACAACCTGCTGTCGCTGTTGGTTTAGATGACGACGGGTTTCCTCGTGTGCCAGACGCTGACTCGGCTGAACCAAATAAAGGCAAAGATTCCGTCCACTTGACACTGCGCTGATGAGTTTTAAGATGATAATAACACTCCTTGCACTTGACATAGCGCCTTATCACGTCGTTAATGAAACGCGCTTCACAGAATACACTGTAAAGTGAGTCGACTGCATATTTTGTGGGCAAAACACAGCATAGTCCCACATCCAGTCGTGGATTGAGCCACCAAATTTTTATTGCATTTTTAAGGGATTATTAGCCCCGGAAAAGCGATCCGTCAATCAACTTAACAACTGGGTTCCCACTTAACTGCTCGATAAACGGAGGAGTAAGGAAACTTGCCTAAGGTTTCGAACCCGGGTCCTCTCGCTTGCGAGGCGAGGGCTCTAACCAACACACGACAAGGACGCCACGATGCACCAGTGTGTACGTGTAAAGCGCATTATACACAGTCCATCAAAGCGAGCGGCGTCCTAAGACAAAGACAAGAAGTGCATTTGCCACCATCGGAGGTGTGTGTGTGTTTTTTTGTAACATTCAGTAATAATTTATTTTTTTTGTTAATTTCAAGAACCGTGGAAATCTTGAAAACACTTCATTTTTTTTTTTTAGGCAATGTTAAACCACACTGGTTTTCTCTGCAAAAATGTCGAGGTACTCTTACAAATTCTCCATACAAAAAGAATAAATTACGGCGGATAAACCTCAAGGGGTTCCGCATTTTTCTACACCAAAAAGAAAACACAGTCGCTTCCGATTAAAGTGGAACGGAATTAAACGGGGAGAGAGAGAGAGAAAAGGAAGGAGTGAGAGAGGGAAGAAGAGAGAGAGCGAGGGAGGTAAAGGGTGGGGGGGGGGGAGGTGGGGGAGGGGGAGAAAAAAAAACTTTACATGCTCTTTTTTTAAAGTTTTGCTTCTTCTTTTCAAGGGAAAAAAAAACTACTGTTTTTTTTATTTAATCTACGTCGCTGTAATGTACACAACTCGGTAATAAAACTATTAACATTCATGTAAAATGCTACGGGTGATATTCTAGTGGGAAATTGGTCATTTTGGAGAGAGGGCTGTGTGTGTGTATATGTGTGTGAGCGAGAGGGGCGGGGGGCGCGGGGGGGGGGGGGGGGAAAGGGAGAGAAAGAGAAGGGTGGGGTGGGTAGGGGACGGGAGAGAGATAGCACCTGAACCTGGTTTGCTTGGGGTCCTGACTAAACCTAACACTGATGGTTTTTTTTTTAAAAAATCGCAGCAAAATCCTAATATTTCCTTCCACAATGTTAAACGGAATCACAATTGATGGGGTGGGTGGGGGGGGGGGGGGGCGAGGGAGGTGGGTGGGTGGGTGGGTGGGGTGGGGGGTGACAGAGAGGGAGAGCAGGGAGAGGGAGGTGCGGAGAGAGGGAGCGAGCGCGCGGGGGTGGTGGGGGGGGGGGAAGGCGAGGAATAATTTTTCCAACATGTGTGAATCTCTGCCTCTTTTTCCTAAATCGACGGTGGTCTCAAATGTTCTGTTCCCTTCCGCTCCAAACCCCCCACTGCCTCTCTGTGTCTCTTTCAAACACTCTCGCATCCGCAGACCACCCTGACGGTTCCTGCTCCGAGCTCTCAAACATGCAGCCTAACCCCCACAACCCCCACCACCACCACCGCCACACCATCAACCCCCTTCTCCACCATTTCCGACGAACAAGAGGGGGCCATTTAGCCCCTCGAGCCTGTTCAGCCGTCCTATTAGATCATGGCTGAACTATACCTCGACTCCTGTCCTCCCCTCTGGTGGGAAACAGCTGTTTATTTTGTTTGGAGCGGAATGAATGAACAGAAAGAGAGAAAGGAGAGGACGAGAGAGAGAGAGAGAGAGAGAGAGAGAGAATCTTTCTGGAACGGGTCGTTCGAGAAACTCTTGAGGCTGCTTTTCTTCTTTTGCCCCCTTTCTCTCTCCCCCTCTCCTCTCCTCTTCTCTCTCTCTCTCACACTAATTTATTCTTGATGACAATTTAATGGTGGGGGGGGGGGGGGGGGGTTGGGGGTAGAAAGAGATTTTTTTAAATATATACACACACCGACAAATGAACGGAATTTGAAAATGGGGGCGTCACATTTTACTCAAAAACTGGAGCTCAACCGGTCTCTCTCTTGAGAGGGAGGGGGGGAGGGATGGGATGGGAGGTGGGGGGGGGGAGAGGTGGAGAGAAATTCCACCTGGGACCAGACTTTTACACTTAGTTTTTTAAAAAATTTTACTTTTAAAACAGAAAGCGTTTCCGACGAACGAAACCCCCGCGTTTTAGCCGCCGGTGTTTAGGGGCCACGTCGACTGTGTGCGAGAAGCTGCCGCGGGCAACTGACCGGCCCCTCGACAAACGCAGGGGTTATTATTTCGCCCACGAAACACACAGTCACTCCACTTTACAGATATATCCCGCGAAGCGCTTTGAGACGCCTCGACCACGTGATGAGGCGCCGGGTCCAATGCAGGGATTGTTATTATTTGTCTTAAAATGTTTAGCACCGAGCAAAACTGGTCGGGTTTTCTTAAATTCAGCCCTAAGCCTTTTGCCTTTGCTTGTTGAGGCGTAGTGACTGTGTGCCTTTGCGGGGCGAGTGCGGCAGACAATTTGCACCGAGCAACGGAACCCCAGATCGATTCCAGGAACCCGCCAATTGTCCACAAGCCTTAAAACAGTGTGTACGTCTGGGCCAGGGGACATTTCAACCCCCCCACCCCCACCCCAGACCCCCCCCTCAACATCTTCTCCTCCCTCCGACCTCGGCACCTCCCCCCCCCCCCCATATCACAATCACAGCACCTCCTGATTCCGAGCTCGGAGTCTCTCTATGTTAACCGTGTGCTTTTGATGTCTCCTCACGAAGCTTCGTTTCCCGACGGATCTAATAACATGTTGTGAGCCACTGCGTTACGATGATTTTCGTGTGCGTGCGCGTCAGTGGTTTGTGTGTGTGTGTGCGTGCGTGTTCGCGCGCGCGCGTGTGTGTGTGTATGCGTGTGTGGTGGTTGCGTGAGGATGTTGGCGTGTCTGGATGTATGTGCCTGTGCACGTGTGTGTGTGTATATGTGTGCTCGTGTAAGTGCGTGCGTGTATATGTGAGCATGTGTGTATGCGTGTTACAGTATATACGTGTGCATTAAACAGCGTCCGAACATTACAAGCCGCCCAAGGAAACAGACCCCAAACTTCTCGTACCATGTCCCCCTCCCCCCCCCACCCCACCTCCTCTTGCCCCTTGGGACTGGAACACAAGCCTCTGTCCTGTGTAGTTGCTGCTTCCGAACCCCGCGCACCCCCCTCCCCCACAACCCCCTCCCCCAGGAAAGGGGCAAAGAGCGTGAAAGGGGCAGCTCTCCCCTCAGCTCAGCATCACATCAGTCTTGGGAAGAGTTCAGGCGTTTAGGCTTCCCATTGGGATTCCGAAGTGTTCCTTGTCTGACGTCACAGAGGGTGCGATGGGGGTGGGGGGGCTACGGGCGGTGGGGGTGTGTGTGGGGGGAATAAATTCACCCAGGTCCTCCCCGCACCAGGAGCCAATCTTCTCCTCAGTTCGAGTCCCGTATCACAGTCCGAAATCTTCTAACCGAGTGGAAGTTGCCTGACTGACTCCCCTCCTGGTTTGCCGCTGATATTCTCAAGGCAGGTTCCTTCCATACCACCCCCCCCCCCCTTCGCCCCATGCGAGAGAGAGGTCTTTATGCACCATCTTGGTTCAGTTCCGTTGGGGGGGGGGGGGTCGAGAACAAGAGAGAGAGTGACTGAGAGAGAGAGGACCAGTTATCGGGGCTGTAGGTGGAGGGGGGAGGTGGGGGATGGCCTTGTCGATGACTCCGAGGTTAAGAGTAAGGCAGTGACGAGGGAACAGTGCTCAGGTCACCCCAGTTGCTAGTCACTGGGTTTGAGGTCAAGTGTCAGACGAGAGTCCCAGGCGTAGCCTTGTCACTTGTATACCACTGGACATCTGCTAATTCCGAGTACAGAGGGGAATCCACATAGCAGGTGTCCTGATAATGTCTGGGAGAGAGAGAGAGAGAGAGAGGGGGAGCATTGAGACGAAGATAATAATAATAATAATAGTAATCCTTGCATGTGATACAGCACCTTATCACGTCTTCGAGACGTCTCAAAGCGCTTCGCGGGATATACAGTACAGCAGGTTGACCGTCTATTTTGTGGGAGAAACGCGGCAGCCTATTGCGCTCCGCAGCGTCCCCACAAACAGTCGCGGGTTGAGCTAATTGAACCAATGCCTCGTTTGTCCAGTGGATGAAAACCAAACGAAATTCCGGTCCCTGTGTCCAAAAGCGAGTTCCTTCCGCACTTGATTTATGTATTTGTTTGAGTGACAAGAGGTCCACAATCCTCGTCCTCACTTTCAAAGCCCTGCCCGGCCTCACTCCTCCCTACCTCTGTGACCTTCTAACTCCTTACCGACCTGCCCGCTCCCTGCGCTCAGCGATCTCCGGCCAGCTCCACGCCCCCCCGCCCCAGCCCGCTCCACCATCGACGGTCAGACCTTCACCCCACCCTCTGGAACTCCAGCCCACAGTCCCTTCGCCTCGTCCCCTCCCTCTCCTCCTTCAAGACTCTCCTCTTCGACTGCGCCTTCGATCACCCTCCCACCCCCACCCTCCCTGCCCCCCCCTGATCCCAACCCCCAGCTCGGGTCAAACCCCCTGACTGTCCAGCGCCTTGGGATGTCCTCCTGACGCGAAAGGCGCTGTGTAAATGTCATTTGTGGTTGTTGTTTGTTCATTTGCTTCGCCGTTACCTCTATTTAATTGGGCTTTGGTGAGCCGGTGTTTGGGTCTGTTCACCGTGAAGGGTGTCATTTTCTGTGGCGTCTCTACAGCAGAGCAGAGCAGAGCGGATAGAGAGAGAGAGAGAGGGAACGAGAGAGAGAGAGCGAAACAGAAAGAGGGTGAGAAAAGTGAGACAAAAGAAGAGAGATTAGTGACAGGAAGAAAGAGGGAAATGTTAGTAAGAATTCGCAGTTAGAAGCTCGGCAGATCGCGCCCCCCCCACCGCCCCACCTCCGCGCACCCCCCCCACCCACCCCACACCCTCACTCCCAGACCCCGGTCCTCGATCTTACTTTGAATGCGTTCCAGAACAAACTCGATCGCTCTCTACTCTGGACCCCAGGTACCTCCTGCGTGAGCTTTAAAGACTTGTAAGGGCCCGCGGGGCAGTTTCTCTCACCAGGAACGGGACGGGACGGAACAGAACAGAACGGAACAGAACAGAACAGAACGGGCCAATTATTGTCGCGGGCAAGAGACTTGGAGACTCACCCACTCTGCCAGGATATGATGTGGTGGGGGCTGGTTGATGGAGAGGAGGCGGCTGACTCAACTGATTGCTTTGTGCTCCTCTGACTGCGAGGCGAGGCAGCTGAGAGGGGAGGGGGGGAGAGAGAGAGAAAAAGAGAGTCACTACACTTTACAGTATATGCCTTGAAGCGCTCTGAGACGTCTCAACGACGTGATAAGAGGCCACATCGAATACAAGGATTATTATTATTATTATTATTAAGGATTATTATTATTAATTGCTGTTATATCCTTCCTGAACAATGAGTAGGGAAAGTGGGGGTGGGCGTGGGGGGGGGGAGGGGGGGAGGGGAATGGCAGGGGGCAGGAGGGAAGGTGTATTAGGGGAGGAGATGGTTGAATGGGGTTTTAAGAGGGTTCAGTCAGAGAGGCATCAAACAAAACAAAGGAATGCAAAAGAAAACATCACTGTGTTATAGCGTGAGTTGACTTGGGGATGATCCGCAGACAGATAAGCGGATATAAATGTGCTCAGGATTAAAGTATTAGAGGTTCACAAAGGAATACACAAACTCTTTCGAGTGACGAATCGCTGTGAGCTCCCGGGCAGATTGTTTCAGCCAGATCAGACCAGGGGCTCGGAGCTCCAGTCACCGTGTTTAATCTCCACGCCCCGCTCACCGAGGGCACAGCAACGCAGCAGAGAGGCTGACGGCTCCACTGTTAACCCTGCCGGCCCCAGCGCCAACGGGGAGGGGGGTCCTCGCTGGACAAGCAGCGGGAAAGCTTGGCCAGACAGCGCTCTCTCTCTCTCTCTCTCTCTCAAAGGCCAAGCTCTGTGTGGGTTTAGCTGGTGAGACGCCCGCGGTTACCCCAACGCACACTCTGTGCACACAGTGTTGGGGGTAACTGCTGGAGTCTGACCAACTAAACCCACACATAGTTTGGCCATTGAGAGAGAGAGAGAGAGAGAGAGAGAGAGAGCGCTGTCTGGCCAAGCTTTCCCGCTGCTCGTCCAGCTCGGACCCCCCTCCCCGTTAGTTAGGGCTTTGGCTGTGGGGTTACCAGGAGCTGAGGGGGAGGATTCCCGGCCCCCAGTGACTGGTCGGCCCTTCCAGGTCCTGCCGGGCCGGGCTGTGCTGCCATCGGCAGTGAGTGCCCTGGGACGCTGCGGCCCCTCCCGGCTCAGGAACCGAACCAGTGACACACAGTCACTGCTCTTTAATAGAAATTCTTTCTGAAGCGCTTTGAGACGTTTCGACACGAGCGGCGCCGTGTCACACGCAGGGATTATTATTATTATTATTATTATAATTATAATTGCGAGCACATCAACCAGGGATCATCTACCGCTGCGTTGAAGGAATGAAGTCACAGCTCGAAGCCGACCGACACGGAAATTCAGGCTACGAGTAAGTCTTTCAACAACCCGGGACGATGGATTAGGGTGGGATCGGGAGGGACAATGGGCAGGATTTGGACGTCAATAACAATGGTGGGTCTGACACGAGGGCTGAGTCAGGCGGATCAAAGCCGTGGTGCGTTTGCAGAAATGTCACAATCGCACAGGAAACTTTCCGTGCAATTGGCCAATTACTTCATAAAAAAAAACCTCGTTGAAATTGGATTCCATTGTAATCCCACCCGGAGCCCGTCTCAGCTCCCCCTCCCCACCCACCCCACCCCCCGCCCCAGCTCAGGTGCAAACCCTTCACTGTCCAGTGTCCTCCTGACACGAAAGGCGCTGTGATAAATCTCAATACATTTGCGTTGGAAACACACCCAGAGAGTAACACGTCTCCCCAAACTGAGTCCCAGCAAATACGGGCGGAGGAAGGGATTTGCCAAATTCTGGTCAAGGCAAAAATTAGCGACGTAAGAATTCCTCAAGGAAAAAAATGGCCAAGGTCCATCGAGTTGACCTTCCCCCATCCCGCGAGTCGCTTCCTACAAAAATGGAGATGTTGAAAGCAATGCTACGGATTAGTCTAGACTTAGAATCAGTCTAGACCAGAGTGGGAAGCTTTGGGAACCTTGGTTCCAAAGTTGCCTGGTCCTTCCAAGTAGATACTCCACTTGTCATGTCTCCTATTACTCATACAACTGCTAAATTGACGTCTTAAAAGATAGTAAATCTCGATCCGGGTGGAATTCCTCCCTTCTCTCCCCCTCTCCCAAAGTGCGTCCCGATTGAATTTAACGATCCAAATTCCCTTCCCTACTGTCTTCCTTCCCATTACTGTGTGCAGCTGTTATTACAGGACTCCCCGTGGGCTCGTTTGACCCCAAGCTTCCAGATGTGATTGTCGCTGTGTAAAGAAACACGTCTGGTCTGGAGGCGGCAGATTCCTCCCACGTCCAGACTCTCCCCCCAAAATAATAATAATTCGGTCACTTCAACCCACGGCTGTTTGTGGGGACGCTGCTGTCCGCAATGGCTGCCGGCCGCAAAATAGTCACTACACTTTACGGTACATCCTGTGAAGCGCATTGAGATGTCTCGAAGACGTGATGAGGCGCTGTGTCAAATGCCAGAATTATTATTATTGTTATTATTAATCACGGATCGGAGTTAATGAGGAACGAGGGAGAGGATGGAGTGGGAGGGAGGGAGATAGAGGAAGGGAGGGAGAGGGAGATGGAGAGGGATGGAGCTGTGGTCCGTACCTGAAGCCGCCGTGCTTGCCGTGGACAGCTGAGGCACACGTGTGCGCCGCGTGGAGTCCGTGGAGCCGGTGTGCGTGAGCCGGGTGTGATCCCGGAGCGTGGCCGAGGACCTCTCGTACCAGGAGCGAAGCTCTTCGGCCACGGCCTTCCCCGCCCCGGCTCCGGCCCCCGGCCCGGCCCCCGCCCCGTCCTCCCGGGCCAGCGAGGGCGTCCTGACGATCTGCGAGCGGGAGGGGGGGAGCCTGGCGTTGCCCTCTATCCCGGAGACCCCACCCCCCCCACCACCACTCTCCTCCGACCTCCAGGCCTCCCTGCAGATGCCCCCGGCCGTGTAGGAGTTTGACGTCTTGAACTGGGCCTTGACGCTGTAATGTCCCTCCTGGTCGCTCTCCAGGCTCCGCACCACCACTGGAGTGGGGCTGCCCTCCACGTACAGAGGGTATTCCTTGATGCGGTACTGGGAGGACGGCTGGCTCTGGCTCTGCAGGTAAACGCCCCCCCCGCTCCCTCCCCCGCCCCCTGTGCCCCCCCCGCTGGCGGGGCCCCTGGCCGCCAGGTTGGGCATGCTGCCCGAGTTGGAGGAGCCCAGCTGCCCGGCCGACCGGTGTCGCTGGCGCTCGCGGGCCCGGGAGGGCGAGTCTTCGGCCAGGGTGCAGTAGTTGGCGTGGGGGTGGGGCTGGGGCTGGGGGTGAGGGTGGGCCGGGGGGTAGCTGTGCTCGGAGCTGGAGCGGCTGGTGCAGGAGGAACAGTCGTCGGCGGGCTCGGACCCGTTGCTGCTCTGGGTTCGCGGGGTGTAGAGGTCGGGGCTCCCGGGCTCCGTCTCGCAACCCCCCGCCTTCCCCTGGGACTCCAGGCTGGAGCTGCGGTGTCTAAAGTGCTGTGCTAACGTGTGCAGTCGGGTAGGGCTGACGTCCACCGAGCTGGGAGAGGGGGGAGAGAGAGAGAGAGAGAGAGGGGGAGGGAGACGGGGAGGGAGGAGAGGGGGACGGAGAAAAGGGAGGTGGGGGGGGTAAGAGAAAAACAACAATGAATACCACAAAATATACCACTGACTAACAATCCTGATTCAGCGCCTTATCGCGTCTTTGAGACGTCTCAAAGCGCTTCACGGGACAGACAGCAAAGTGTAGTGACTGTGGATCTTGTGGGCGAAACGCGGCAGCCGATTGCGCACAGCAGCGATGTCCCCACAAAACAGCCAAATTATTATATTTTTTGGGGAGGGATTATTATTCCCCCCCGGAAAGCGATCCGCCAATCGACTAACAACCGGGTACCTACTGACCGCCGGTAAACAGAGGGCGTGTGTGTGGGGTCAGGGAACTCGCCTAAGGTTTCACCCCAGGAATCGAACCCAGGTCCTCTCGCTTGCAAGAGGGGGAGAGAAGGGGAGTTGAGGGAAGGGGTGGGGGGGAGGAGTTGAGGGAAGTGGAGGGTTAAAGGAGGGGGTGGGGGAAGGGGAGGGGGTGGAGGGGGACAGAAGGGGAAGAGGGCGAAGGCTTGACTTACCGTGTGGAGTGGATGTAGGTTGGGCTGCGGAGACGCAGATTGGGGGTGGAGGGCATACTGCACTGGGAGCCATTCCACAGCGGAGCCCCTCGTACTGGGCTGCCCTGCAGCGACCCCCCAGCCTGTGCCTCACCACCGCTCCCCCCACTGGGCAACCGGGAATGTCCACTCCGCAAGCTGTCAGGGAGAGAGAGGGAGGGAGGGAGAGAGAGAGTCAGAGAGAGAGAGAGAGAGAGAGGGAGGGAGGGAGAGAATCAGAGAAGACAGAGAGAGGGAATCAGCGAAAGAGAGACAGAGAGAGAAATAGAGAGATAGAGATGGGGAGAGAGTGAGAGAGAGAGAGAGAGAGAGAGACAGAGAATGGGAGAGAGATAGAGAAAGAGAGACAGAGAATGGGAGAACAAGAGAATGAGGGAAAGAGAGTACTGATAGAGAAAGAAAGAAGAAACAGAAAGAGTGAATGAGAAAGAGAGAAAGAAGAGAGATCCCACCCTCAGTGGTTGGGTCTTCAGCCTCACTACCCCCACTCTTTGAAATTCCATCCCACATTCCCTCCGCCTCGCTCACCCTCCCTCGCCTCCTTCAAGACCCGTCTCAAGACCCTCCTCCCCGACCGCGCTTTCCGCCACCCTCCTCCTCCCCCCATCCTCGCTGCCCTCCACCCCCTCCTGATCCCAAACCCCCCAAATCCCTGACTGTCCAGTGCCTTGGGACGTCCTCCCGACATTAAAGATAATTATTTGGGGAGGACAAGTTTGCGGGGCTATGGGAGAGAGCGGGGCTATGGGGAGAGAGCGGGGCTATGAGGAGAGAGCGGGGCTATGGAGAGAGCGCGGGGCTGTGGGGAGAGAGCGGGGCTATGGGGAGAGCGGGGCTATGGGGAGGGAGTGGGGCTATGGGGAGAGAGCGGGGCTATGGGGAGAGAGCGGGGCTATGGGGAGAGAGCGGGGCTATGGGAGAGCGCGGGGGGGGGGGGGTTGATTTGAAAGCTCTTTTGAAAGGGCCGTCACAGACGCGATGGGCCGAATGGCCTCCTTCCGCGATGTATAATTCTACGTATCTATGAAAGGGCGCTGTGTGAATGTCATTTGTTGTTGTTGTTGTTGTTGTTCCGGCGCCCCCTGGTGGTGGCTGTGTGCAGTGCGGGGTCACTGACCTGGAGTGGTTGTGCGCTGACCGCCTCTTCACCTTCTCGTACGGCTCGTCCAGCGACGACTCCTTCCACATCTTGGGCTTGACCGGAGACTTGTCGTAGTCGCTGCGGTGGTAGTGCAGCTGCCGCAGCCCGTCCAGCGACTGAGGGGGAGGGGGCCGCTGGTGAGAGGGGGGCCGGGGGGGGAGGCCTTTGTGCGGGGACTGGAGTGGTGACAGGATCCCAGAGACCTGAGGGTCGTCTGTAACGCCAAGAGACCAAGAGAGGTTTACAACGCGCTTTCCTCCCCCACTGGAGCTCTCTACTCTCACCCCATTCCCCCCCCACCCCACCCCACCAAACCCCCACCCCCCACGCGCTCTCCCCATCGTGTCTGCGCTGTAAATGGTTTTCGCCACTTAAGGTTTCCACGTGGCTCGAGACGCAAGGCTGACCCCAAAGAAAAAAATCCTATTCAGATCCACCTCCCTCTCCCCCCAATGTCTAACCAGAGACACCCCCCACCCACCCACCCACACCCGCCCCCCCCGCCCCCCCCCCGCCACACACTCACCATCTTCCAAAACGAGTGCGTCAGATAACGAACTGTCCTCTGAGCCAATGTTGGCCTCTGTGCGCAAATAATAATGAGATAACAATAACGATTCCTGCATTCGACACAGCGCCTCATCACGTCTCAAAAGCCCTTCGCAGAATATAATGTAAAGTGTAGTGACTGCGCGTTTTGGGGGGCGAAACGCGGCAGCCAATTGCGCGCAGCAGCGTCCCACACACAGACAGCCGTGGGGTTGAAGTGACCGAATTATTATTATTTTTGAAGGGGTTAGTTCCCCCCCCCCCCCCCGGAAAAGGGATCCCCCAATCGACTAACAACCAGGTTCCTACTTACTGCCGGGGAAACACGCGTGTGCATGTGTGCGTGTGTGGAGTAGGGAAACTTGCCCAACGCTTCACCCTGACCCGCCTGGGAATCGAACCCGGGGGGTCCTCTCGCTCGCGAGGCGAGTGCTCTAACCACTGAGCTACGGAAGTCCACTAAGATGGACACACGACAGAATAAATGCAAGTTGTTGCTGTTGCTACGCCGGAGGTTACAGCACGGCGAGAGGCCATTCTGACGGGGAGGGGGTGGGGCTGGGGGGGGATGGAGGGGAGGGAAGAGTGGGCGTGGAGTGGGGGAGAGGAGAGAGAGAGAGAGAGAGAGGAGGACTGACTCACCCTCGATGATGAGGGAGGCCCTCTGGGTGGGCTTCTTCCCTGACTTGACTCTGTACTCGTTGATGGAGTTCTCGATGTCCTGCAGTTTCTTCAGGGCGTTGAGATACGACGCTTTGCGTTGCTTCTTCAGCTTCTTACTGACGCTGGGGTCGGCCGCCAGGCGCCTCGCGGCCTCCGTGATCTGGGACTGGATCGCGAACTCCCTCTCCAGGCGCTCCACCTCCGCTTCCTGCCGGGGTCAGAGCCACGCCCGTCACACACTCCATTCCATTCCCCTCCATCTCCGCTCCCCCCTCTCCCCCAGCCCCCTCTCCCCCAGCCCTCCTCCGAGGGCCTCCACACTCCCCATCCCGCTCACACGCTCTCGCCTCCGAGGACGGGAGGTTACAGGTTCGAGCTCCTGCTCCCACCGCCTTCCCCCCTCCCCACCGCACACCACCCCCAACCCCTCGCGTCGGGGATTCTGGGCTCACAGTCCAGGTCAGCGACGGTGAACCTAAAAATCGAGACATCTCAAAGCGCTTCACAGGACGCACTGTAAAGTGTAGTGACCGTATATTTTGTGGGCCAAACGCGGCAGCCAATTGCGCACAGCAGCGTCCCCACAAACAGCCGTGGGTTGAGTGACAATTCGTGTTATTTCTTGTGCGTGAAGGAAATATTACCCCCGGAAAAGCTACTTAGGTACCGCTGCCCGTTATCCACTTGGTCGCACATATCCAGCAATGGCAATAATGTTGTCTTCCTCTTCCAGACTCTCTTCACTCACGTCCGACAGCTTGAAGGAGGGACGTCAAGTGCCCAAATGTTATTTTGTTCTGTTTTTTTTGTCCTTACACGTTTATGTTTATGTGTATATAGACAACAAAGGATGTTTTGCACAGAACATAACCTCGTTTAGAAACAGAACAGAGTCTGAACAAATACAAGGAAGTGATCTTATCAGAAAGACCTTTTGCATTGTTTGGGAAAAACAGGAGAACTGAGGGCTTTGCTCTGGTGAGTGAGGCTGCGCTCGAGAGAGAGAGAGAGGGAGAGAGAGGGAGAGGGAGGGAGGGGGTGTGGGTTGGGGTGAAAGGGGGTCTGTCACAGTGACGGGTTCAGGAGAAGTTCCTTTCAGTCGGGACCCATAGCACATTATACTGGAGTCCTGCAGCTCAGTGGGTTAGAGCCCTCGCCTCGCAAGCGAGAGGACCCGGGTTCGATCCCCGGGCGGGACGAGAAACCTTAGGCGAGTTCCCTTACTCCCCACACACACGCCTCTGTTTACTCCGGAGGAAGCCATTGTTTGCCGATTGTCAGATCGCTTTCCATGGGGTAATAATCCCTCTAATAAACAAATAAATAATTTGGTCCCTCAACCCACGGCTGTTTGTGGGGACGCTGCCGCGTTTCGCCCACAAAACCCACAGTCACTACACTTCACAGTGTATCCTGTGAAGCGCTTTGAGACGTCTCGACGACGTGATGAGGCGCTGTGTCAAATGCGAGGATTATTATTATTATTATATTATTATTACCTCTCCCTTGGGCACCATCTTCTGCTCGTCCAGCTTGAAGGCGGTCCCGATCCGTCGCCGTACGATGGGGGGCTGCTCCCCGGGATCCAGGGGATATTCCTTGGGCAGTTTTCCCGTCAACTCCTGTGAGGAGAGAGAGAGACAGAGAGAGAGAGAGAGAGAGAGTGAGAACCTCCATTACATCACGATTCCCATCGCTGTGCGCCAATAATCTCCGACCCCGACTCCCGGTGCGGACCGCTCAGCTTCCCGCTCCACACCCCCGCCCCCACCCCCGCCTCAGGACGAAGGGGGGCGATCAGCATCGATGTCACTACACTCCACACCAAGTTCCGAGGGGTTTAAGACCCTAATAACGTGCGCTCCGAGACGCTACCCCACTCGCGCTATATAGATGCAAGGTGGTGGTGGTGTTGTTGTTGCCTTTGATTGTCGGAGGGATACAGGAAGCCATCTCCCTTCCTCCTTCCCCCACATCGCATCCCCTCCTCCAGACCCCTTCCCCGCGCTCTCCCCCCACCGCGCCCCCCGTCCTCCTCACCGCTTCTCGCAGACAAAGTTTCCTTAGTTCGTCCAGACGGATTCTCAGCGTCTCCTCCAGGGATTCCTGTCGGGATTTGAGTGCGGCGAGCATGTCCTTTTTGGCGGCCTGGGAGCTGTCCGACTCCTGGGAGCCTGAGGGAACAGGGAGACTGAGCCAAGCCGAGCCAAGGGCTGCCGAGCCGGTCAGGCAAGCCCCCCACCCACCGCAGGCCACACGCCTCGCCCCCGCCCCACCTGCTCTCTCTCTCTCTCTCCCCCTCTCTCAGCCTCACACACCTCAAAACGCTCGGAAAATCACGTCCGAGCCTGAAACCCACAAACTGCTGACTCGGGAATGCTCCCCACTCCGAGCGGATAACTCGCCCCCCCCCCCCCCCCACCACCATCTGCTCTCCCCCACCCCCAATCCCCGATTGATAGCCAAATATTTACTTCCCACCACCAACTACCCGGCTCAGTCGTTAGCGCTCTCGCCTCCCGAGTCAGAAGGTGGTGGGTTTAAGCCCCCTACCCTGCCCCCTCCTCTTTCCCCCACCGCACCCCATGTCAGGACTTTGGGCTTTTGAGCTCACAGGAAAATAGTTAGCACTGCAGCAAATCTGCCCAATTAACCGCAGTGTCTGCTTATCCACAACAGAGGCTGGGGGTGGGGGGTGGGAGAGTAGATCGGTTAGTGTGGATACGCAGCTCTCTGCTCTATTCTCGTTCATGGGAACAGGAGGCGGCCATTCAGCCCCTCGAGCCTGTTCCGCCATTCTCTTCCATCTGTACCTCAACTCCATTTAAGAACATAAGAACTCGCTGGTGAAAGGCCTTCCACCCTCCTGTCAGCCGCTTGACATGTTGTGTCCCAAACCGCAGGCTGTATCCCCATTATTATTATTTATATTATTTCCTAACCGAAATCGATCTGATTTACTCTTGAAAGAACTGACTCTCCACCCGCCTTTGCCCCGTATCCCCTGATCCCCCGACCTCAAAAACATCTGTCCGCCTCAGTCTTGGAAATGTGAATGGATCCGCAGCCATAATCCACAGCCTTTTGGGGGCGGGAGAGAGGGTTCCAGATTCCCACTGGCCTTTGGGTGAAAAACTGCTACAGCTATGGTTATCGAAACTCATTTGAAGCAGAGTTAGATGGGGCTGCGCTGCCCGGGAGGAGGAGGGGAGGGGGGGATGAGTAGGAGAAGACGACTGATATTAGACGCTAAGATTTAAGCAGCGTTAAAAGCAAAGCGGAAGCCTAGATACAAAGCCACGGCTACTGTGCTACGGTTACTCTCTTTCCTGCAGATTAATTCGAACCAACCTTTCTTACACCTCTTCTTTTCGGCTGGGTGGTAAAAGATATATAGGAGAGAGATGAGAGTGTGCAGGGTCCAACACGCTAATGGGATAAACAAGTGAGGAGCGGGCGGGGGGGGGGGGTTTGCAACAGCAACAAACGGAATTAATAAAACGCTAACGTGTGATGTGATCAACGTGGCCAATTGATTACAACAACAATAATAATCCTTGCAGTTGATATATTATTAATCCTTGCATTTCACCCACGAAACACACGGTCAATTCGCTTTACAGTGTGTCCCGTGAAGCGCTTCGAGACGTCTCGAAGACATGATAAGGCGCTGTGTCAAACGCAAGGATTATTATTATATATCATACACATATAGCGCCTCATAGCGCCTATTGAGACATCGTTGTGACGTCTCAAAGCACTTCACAGAATGTACTGTCAAGTGAATTGATTGTATATTTTGGGGGCGAAACGCGGCAGCCAATTGCGCGCAGCAGCGTCCCCACAAACAGCCGTGGATCGAGCGACCAAATTATTATTGTTGGGGGGTGGGGAGAGGGATTATTACCCCCTGGAAAGTCCGCCAATCGACTAACAAACAGGTTCCTACTTACTGCTGCGCAAACAGAGGCGTGAGAGTGGAGTAAGGAAACTTGCCTCAGGTTTCTAAGATACTGAATTGATTTTTACGATTTTTACGATAAATAAACTCAATTTATCGATTTTTACGATAAATAAAAACAACTCAATGACGTAATTCACTCAACGACATTTGAAGCCGGCGCCCATTTTAGAATTGTTTTCATTTTTACGATAATCAATTCATTTATTTTTGACGTTATATTTCTTCCCCCCCCCACCCCAACTTGATTTACGGGAACAAAACATCCTCAACCTCGGGGGAGTCTGAGAGTCTGCGGAAATAGCTGAAGGTCAGACAGACGCAGTGAGACTGATCTGCTCGTGTCTCTCTCTTTCTGCGTGTAGGAAGCCCGTTAAGTGTTGCTAATGCACTTGACTTGGGAACCTTTTGGCTGTTACGGTGAGGTCTCACCCCGTCATTAACAGGGAGACGAGGAGAGCAAAGATCCCCCCCCCCCCTCCCACCTTTTCCCTCCACCACTGAGTGCATTTTAGACAATGATGGAAATGCCCATTAAGCCCATTTTTATGAATAATAATGATACAGCGCCTCATCACCTCGACAAGACGTCTCAAAGCAGAACAATCCTGTCAAAGTGGAGTGACTGTGTATTTTGTGGGCGAAACAATGCTGTACATTCTCAGCCGCGCAAAAGAAAGACAACAACAACCCTCCTCCCAAACGGTCAAAATCTGCAGGAACAGAATGGCCAGAACACACAATAAACCGACTTCCTGCGGCGCTCCGGGTTAGGAGAGTGGATTTCAGAGCGCCGGGAGCTGTGTGTGTGGGAGGGGGTGGGGGGGGGTGGGGTGGTGGTGGTGGGAGGGGAGACGGGGGGTGAGGTTAAGAGACTTGGCTTCTGTGTTGATTTCCGGTGCAGCTGAACACCATTGTGTCCACGACAATCGGTGCGAAATGCCACAAACACGGAACAATTGGAGCAGAAATCTCGCCCCCACCCCCCACCCCCACCCCCCCCAGCCCCCACATTCAACGCGGTTTGTTCCCTGATGTTTATCAGTGACCGGTCAGCCCCCCCGACACAGACCGGCAGCCAAGTGCACTGTAACAACATTCCAGCTCCAATACATTCCAAATAACAGCCCCCACCCACCTCTCTCCATCACACACACACACACATACACACATGTGCAACCCCCAACATCCGACCCCCCCCCACACACACAGACCCTCTGACATACACACACACACGCGCCCTGACACACACCCCAGCCATGGACACAAGCACAGCTCCAGATACACACCCGCGCGCACGCACAGCTCCAGATGTAGACATACGTACAACTCACCCCCATCCCCCAACCACACACAGAACCACACGCTGACACACGCACAGCCCCCAGACACACACACACACACACTCGCAATCCCTGTCCCCCCCCCCCCCACACACACACACACACGCACGCGCGCACTTTCAGACACGCACCAACCCACACATATCTCCTGCCAACAACACACAGCCACATCTGTCCTTTTCAAATGTTTACCCTGTTGTGTTAATCACCCAATCCGGTTTACATTCTTCCCGCTTCCCGAGGATTTTCGGGATTGAAACCAGCGCTGAGCCGAGAGCAGACCTTCCCACTTCCTGCTCACATTCCAAGGCTCCGCACACTTCCTCGCAACCCCCCACCCCCCCACTCCCAGCCCCGGCTTCCCTTACTCACAGCTTCATGGCTATTGTCCTGGCACATTTAAGGTTGTGGGGTATTTGTGGAATATCCTCTAAAATTATCCTGATTTGGAAGTCGCTAAACGACTGAGAAAAACTTAACTCACAAAATAAAAAAAACTAACTCGCTTTCACCCACCAAATATACAGTCAATTCACTTTACACCAAAGCGCTTTGAGGCGTCTCGAAGACGTGATACGGCGCTGCATCAAATGCAAGGATTATTATTATTTCGTGGGCGAAATGGGGCGGCCAATCTGCACATAGCAGCGACCACAAACAGTCGTGTATTGAGTGACCACATTTGTTTTTAAGGGATTATTACTCCCTGGAAAGCGATCCGCCAACCGACTAACAACTGGGTTCCTATTTCCTGCTGGGGAAACAGAGGTGTGTGTGTGTGTGTGTGTGCAGTAAGGAACCTTGCCTAAGGTTTCGCTCTGCCTGGGGATCGAACCCCGGGTCCTCTCGATTGCGAGGCGATAGCGCTCTAACCACTGAGCTACAGGACTCTTCCCAACATCATCCCTCACACAATTCCGGGGGAAAACAAATGGTTAAAGACTCGTACAGAGCAAAAAAATACTCTCTCCCAACATTCCCTCAGAGTCTGCACAAGCCGAGGGCAGACAATTAGCAGATTCTTTTATACAGAAAACAACCAAATCAGCAGTATGTGCCACCACTTTAAGCGATAATAAAAGATGTCCATGGTTTATCTGAAGGGATTGTTGGCCAGGATACAGGGAGAGAGTGAAACTCCCTTCTCTTATCCAAGCGGTCTTCAAAACTACTTGGAAACCTTTCCTATGCGTCAGCCTGGCTCAGCCAGTAACGCTCTCGCCTCTGAGTCAGAAGGTTGTGGGTTCAAGCCCCCATATACGTCCTGATGAAAAGAGAAGGGAGTTTCCCTCTCTCCTCCCCGGTGTCCTGGCAGACATTCCCCCCCCCCACTCCCCCACTCCCGATAAGAACTGACTACTTGGCTGTTTGTGGGGACGCTGCTGTGTGCAAATTTCCTGGTGTGTTTGCCTATAAAATACTCGCAACACTCTATAATACGGCCTTTGAAGTGGTTTGAGACGTCCTCCCGAATGATGCTGGTGCTCGCTCCCCCACTGGAGCTCTCTACTCTAACCCCCTGCTCTCTCTCTCTCTCCCATTGTGTTTATGCTGGGGCTCGCTCCCCCACTATCCAAAGGGTGGGGGGCTAATTAATGGGGGAGGAGGGGTCTACCTGATAGGTGGGGATACTCAATGGGTGGGACTACTCAATTGGGAGAGGGCGACCAAATGGGGGAAGACTAGCCAATGGAGGGGGGGGGGGAGGGACGGCTACTCAATGCGGGGGGGCTGCCCAGTTGGTGGGGGCGGGGGTGGGGTGGGGGGTGTCTCCGATTGTGAGGTGGGTTTGATTGTGGGTAAGTCTTACCCGAGGAGAGAAGGCTGCCGCTGCTGCCGCTGATGATCTTGCCCTTGCTGCCCATGTTGGCCAGTTTGGAGGTCTTCAGGGTCCCCGTCTCCGTCAGGTCGATGGCGATTTCGCTCAGGCTCCGGGCCGCATGGATTTTCGACTGGGTGGGGGTGGGGGGGGGGAACGAGTCGGTGAAGCGTTAGATTGGAATAATAACAACAACAATCCTTGCATTTGATACACAGTCTTATCACGTCTTCGAGGCGTCTCAAAGCGCTTCACGGGATACACTGTAAAGTGTATTGACTGTGGGTTTTGTGGGGGAAACGCGGCAGCCAATTGCGCACAGCGACATCCCCACAAACAGTCGTGGATTGAGTGACCAACTTATTATTACTATTATTTTTATTGAAGGGATTATTACCCCCCGGAAAGCCAATCGACTAACAACCAGACTCCTACCCACTGCTGGTGTGTGGAGCGGCCCAATATTTTGCCCTGACCTGACCCGCCCGGGAATGGAATCGAACCCGGGTCCTCTCTCGTTCGCGAGGCGAGCGGTCTGCCACCCACTCAACCCCCCCCACCACAAAAAGGAACGCTTTGCCGCTCACCTTGCTCTGCTTTCTGTCCAGGTAGAACTGATGCTGGCTGATGGCCATCGCCCAGATAGACTTGATCAGAGAGGGACTGGCATACCACGTGTGCACTGCGATCGCACTGTGACCAAATGTCCTCCGGGTGACTGACGCCCTGACCACCACAGGACACAAGACAACAGTCAGACAGCAGTTCCCCCATCTCCCCAATCCTCACCCCCCCCCCACCCCCAACTACACCTCCCACCACATCTCCGACAGACCCTCACCCTTCACCTCGGGTGTCCTTAAGTGCTCTGGGACACTATCCTGCGTGAGGGGAGCGTGATAAATCCAAGTTCAAGTCCTCCCAGCTTGGGATGTCCTCCCGATGTGAAAGGCACTAATCGTTATTGTTGCTGTTGACACCTCAGCACCTCCCGACCTCACCCGCCAGCGCTTTCCTCCCTCTCCCTTTTCCCCCTTCTCTCTCTCTTCCCCCTTACCGTACCTGCCTGCGTTGGGGCCGTTAGTCTGCGCTGTGAGCTCAACACCCCAAACCCGGAGGCTGATACTAATAATGATAACAATCCTTGCATTTGATACGGCGCCTCATCACGTCGTCGAGATGGGCTTCACAGGATACAATGATCTCAGTCTCACTCCATCTCTCTCTCTCTCTCTCTCTCTTCCAAACCAAACCCCCCCCCCCGCCCCACCCCCCACTGACCAATTCCGGGAGTTGGAATCCTATTCCCCACGACAGGAAATCTTCCCTTTAAACGACTTCAAAAGATCACACCGGAGATTTGGGATGAAGAAGGCCCTTCGGTACCGTTTGATCTCATCCTTCCAAAACCTTCCATGAATGCCCACCTGACAATCCCCCCATTACAACACCCTCCAGACAATTCTTAATTGAGTCCCAGCGTCCAACCCTCGGACGCCTTTCCTGTTAGCGCTTCACAGAATATACTTTAAGTGTAGTGACTGTGTATTTTGTGGGCGAAACTGCACACAGCAGCGTCCCCACAAACAGCCGTGGAGTGAGTGACCAAATTAATATTATTTTTGAAGGGTTCATTACCCCCGGAAAAGCGATCCGCCAATCGACTATCAACCAGGTTCCTATTTACCAGCAGTAAACAGAGGCGCGTGTGTGGAGTGAGGAAACTTGCCGAAGGTTTTGCCCTGCCCGGGAATCGAACCCGGGTCCTCTCCCTTGTGGGATGGAGTTCCAGAGGGTCGATGCAGAAAGGCTGACGGCCTGAGCGGGCGAGAGGGAGCAGGCTGGAGCCTGACGAACGGAGGGAGTGGACAGGTTGGTGGGATATTAGGAGGTCACAGAGGTAGGGAGGAGCAAGACCGCGAAGAGTGAGGTCCAGGATATTAAACTGGATCCTCTGGGAGAAGCCCAACAGCTGACAAACAGCTGCCGTACAGTCTGTGGAAATCCCCATCGGCCCATCGCAGCGTTGAGCTGATTCCCGGCTTTGACAACACTTCCTGGTAACCCCACAAAACAGCAACACATCCCATCTACTCAGAGCCTTTCACGTGGGGAGGACATCCCAAATGGCTGCATAATAAGGGATTTGCACCTGAGCTGGAGGGGGGTGGGGGGATCAGGAGGGGTGGAGGGCAGGGAGGGTGGGGGAAGGAGGGTGACCGAAGGCGCGGTCAAATAGGAGGGTTTTGAGATGCGCCTTGAAGGAGGCGAGGGAGGGGATGGAGTTCCCGAAGGTGGGGAGGGGATGGGGGGGGGGGGGGGGGGGGCAGAGAGGCTTGTCGGCCAGGACACTGGGAGGGAAACCAAACACAACTCCCTCCCTTCTCTTTTCAAACTGCGCCTTGGGAGGTCTTTAACGTCCACCTGAACAGGGCACAGATGTGGGGGGGGAGGTTTAATGTCTCAGTTCAACAGGGGGAGCGTACTGCGTTGTTGTGGGCGGGGTGGTGGGGGGAGTAAAAAGTGCGGGTGTCAGGCAGAGGGGTTCTTTCGAACACACAAGAACGACATCTCACAAAGCACTTCGCGGGAGACGCTGCAATACACGCGTTGGGGGTGGGAGGGCGGGTAGTGGGGTCGGGCGGAGGTGTGTGTGGGGGGGTGGGGGATGCGGGGGGGGATGTGGGGAGGGGTGTCGGGGCTGGGGAGGCTGTCGGACTCTTACCTTCTGGGGTCATGAACCTCCACAGAAAACTTCTTCTCTCTGAAGTACAGGTTTTCTAACTGTTTCCATTGGAAGACCTTAACAGGGCAAAGAGGCAACGAGAGTGAGACAGACCCCATCTTCTCTTCCCAGCTCTGTCGTCCCTGCCCCCCACCCCCCCACCCCCCCCATCCACTCCCCCCTCGCCCCCTCCCCTTCCCCATGTCGGTGCCATTCCCTGGGTGGGGGGGAGAGGCACGAGTAGCATTTAAACCATTAAAAATACATCCCACTCTCACACTCCCTGACCCCCTTCTCCCCACCCGCTAGTTGTGAGCTACCTTCCCCCCCCCCCACACACAAACACACACACAGAGTCCCCTCCGAGAGAAATAAAATAAAGGCAGTCTGACTCCACCGGGGCTCTCTCGCTTCAAAGGTTTTCTCCAGTTAAAATAATAATAATCCTCTTGCTCACAAACACACACACACACACTTACGCTCTCGCTCGCACACTCTCGCTCTCTCTCAAAACGCACCGTAAGACAAGATCCTCTTTCTCTGGGTCTCTGCGTTCTTCCAAACTCTCTCCCTCCCACACCCGCTCTCTCCCTTTCCTTCCTTCCCTTCTTTCTTCGTCCCCCCCCCCACCCCACAACCACCTCTCACTCTCTCTCTCTCTCTCTCTCTCTCCGCGCGCCTCTCTCTCTCTCTCCCCCTCTCCCTCTCAGACGCTCAGCCTCTTTGTTGCCAGTGGTTTCTGAGCAATAAGTGAAACCATCTGTGTCTGGACAGGGTTAGAAGTAGGAGTGCTGAACATGATTTCCTCTCTCTCTCTCTCTCTTCTTCTCTCTCTCTCTCTCTCTCCTCCCACCCCCTCCCCACCAGCCACAGCGCTGGTTGGAAGCAAAAGATGAGAAGTGGTCCAATTACATGATGCTCTTGGGACAAAAACCCTTGGCTTCCTGCCCACGGACCTGCAACTAGTCTGGAGTTGGTGCTCATTCAGCGTCGCTCAGCTCTGCGCTGTGCTCTGGAGGAAGGCTGAGGGGGAGCTTTACTGTAGCTTCACAACGTGGCCGGTTGCTTACAGTCAGGAGGTTAGAGAGAGAGAGAGAGAGAGAGACCAAGAGACCGAGAGACGGAGAGACAGGAAGGGGAGAGAGAGAGAGAGAGAGAGAGAGGGGGAGAATGGGAGAGAGAGAAAGAGAGAGATGGAGAAAGAGAGATAGAGAGGGGAGAGAGAAAGTGACAGAGAGGGAGTTGGACAGAGAGTGAGGGAGAGAGAGAGAGAGAGAGAAAGAGAGGCGTTTTGAGAGAGATGGCCAGTCCCCCCTGGGGGTAGGAGTGAGGAAGAGGGGGGGGTATTGGGTGAGGGGGATGGTTGACACACGCACGCACGCGCGCGGACGTACACACATACACACGGCTGTTTGTGGGACGCTGCTGTGCGCAATTGGCTGCTGCGTTTCGCCCATAAAATACACAGTCACTCCACTTTACAGTGTATCCCGTGAAGCGCTTTGAGACGTCTCAATGCTATATCAAACGCAAGGATTATTGTCATTATATACCTGTTCACGGTCCCTCACACACAGGCACGATGGGCCGAATGGCCTCCTTCTGTGCTGTAATATTCTATGCTTCTACGTCAAATGCAAGGATTATTATTATTTGGGACCCTAACGCTTCCAACACAGGGATCCTCTGCTGTTAAGAGCTGGGCTGTCTGTCTGTCAGTCTGTCTGTCTGTCTTTCTTGTCTGTCTGTCTCTCTGTCTGTCATAGTGCGTGACCCAATCTCCATCTCCTCAGGAAGCGTTGTGTTGTTAATGGATTCTCTGCCTCCACCGTATCGATTCTCCAGGACGTTAGCACTTCACATCAACAGCATCAATAAATAATAATACTAATATCAGTCCTTCCATTTGCTGCAGCGTCTCTCATCAGGCTGCTCAGCCCCGAACCGTTTCACAGGGTTTTACCGTTGCACATTTCTACCAAGAGAAACAGCCTTCTCTATAATAATAATAATCGATAATAATCCTTGCGTTTGACGTCGACCGGGGACGCCTCAAAGGGCTTCGCAGGAGTCTTACTGTAAAGCGCAGTGACTGTGCGCTGGACAGCTTAACGGTAAGGTCCCAAACTGCAGGAAGCAGAGCCTAACAGCTGTGGGACGTTTCCAGTTCAAGGGAGTGAGCCAAGAGTCTGACCCCAGCGAACAGTGAGTACGAGACGATATCTTCTCCCATTGTGTCCGTCCCGGGCGACTTTTTACGGTTGACTCATTTTTCCGAGACGCATTGTCCGTCTGCCTTAGACAACAGTCTCTCCCCCCCCACAAGGTGATAGCAATTCAAATCTCGGAACCCCAACATCCTGTCCACAATCAAACCACAGGAAATAAAATGACATATCTCTTCCCCATNCCCCCTTCCCCACAAAAAAAACCCACACAGCCTGATTTTACTATCAGTGCGTCAGCCTGGCTCAATCCAGTCGCTCGCTCTCTCTCGACTTGGGAGTCAGAAGGTCGGGGGTTTGAACCCCCGCACGTCGGGGACTTTGAGCTCACAGTCTTGGCTGAGGCTCGAGCACAGCGCTGGGGAGGGGGGAAAGAGAGAGAGAGAGAGAGCCGTGTTGTCGGAAACGCCATCCTTCAGGATGAGACGTTAAACTTCACTCCCCACCCGTCTGTGCCCTGTTCAGGCTGTTGGGAAAAGAGTTTCCTCCCGAAGTCCTGGCCGACAATCAACACTGGTCGGTCATTCGCTCCGGGGCTATCTTAAATAATAATAACCCTCGCACTCGATACAGCGCCTTATCACGTCGTTGAGACGTCTCAAAGCGCTTCTCAGGATACATTGTAAAGTGAACCGACTGTGTATTTTGTGGGCAAAACCCGGCAGCCAATTGTCCCCACAAACAGCCGTGGGTTGAAGTGACCAAATTATTATTATTTATTTAGCAGGAATTATTACCCCCGGAAAAGCCATCCACCCGTTGACTAACAACCAAGCTACAGGATTCCAACTCAGCGAGAGCGCTGTCTGGCCAAGCTTTCCCGCTGCTTGTCCAGCTACGACCACCCTCCCCGTTAGAGCTTTGGCTGCGGGGTTAACAGGAGCCGAGGGCGAGGATTCCCTGCCCCCAGGCGTACGTCTCGCTCTCTCTCTCTTGCTTACCTTCCTGGGCTTCACCTTGTCCTGATAATCATATTGAAAGATCCCTTTGTAGCTCAGCCCCAGCCACCAGGGAATGCCTTGTTTGTCCTGTGGGGAGCAATCACAACCTCTGGTTAAGGTCTTGCAATAACAGCGAACCTCAGCAGCGACACAGAGCCGTGTCACAGAGCCTCAAAGCGCTCGGCAGGATTTTATTTTACCGTGAAATGCAGTCTGGGGCCAAAGCTCACTTGATATTCATTTTTAGGACAAATAGACACACTGGAGTCCCGTAAGAAAAGATATACCCGCTTCTCCGATGCTCAGAGGAAGAGGGGGGGGGGGGGATCGAGACAGGAATCACATTGAACACTCCGCGTTCAAGATCCGTACAATGATATTAATAATAATAAACCTTGCATTTGATACAGCGCCGCTTATCACGTCTTCGAAACATCTCAAAGCCGTTCACAGAATATACTGTAAAGTGGAGTGACTGGTTATTCTGTGGGCGAATTTCTGCCCAGTAAAGCATCGGGTCCGCAAGTCACGTTGGGATGTAAAAAGAGTTAGACTGCTTAAGCGGTTGCTAAGCTGTAGTTAACATAATGATAAGGCAGCGAGTATGTGTCTGTGGGTGGTGTGTACTTGTGGGTGTCTGTGTGTGTGTGTGTGTGTACGAGAAGAGAAGAAATTCCTTTCACTGTAACTCTGCAAGCTGCTCTCCCAGCAGTGTGTGTGTGTGTTTGTGTGTGTGTGTGTGTGTGTGTGTGGGGGTGGGGGGGGGTCACCCTCAGAGCAGAGTGAACTCTCCCCCCTTCCCAGCCCTTTCCAATCTCTGTTCGAACTCAACCCATTCCTCCACCACGGCTAGACAGAAAGCGGCCCCTTTAATTACAAGGTTAGGAGACGTGCGGAAAGCACCACTAAATATCTCTGGACTTTGGGTTACGTAAGAGATGTTCGGTAAATTGCTATTTTGCTCTCTTGTTCCTGAGCCAGGCCAGTAATCCAGTAATCCAGTAATCCAGGGGACTGTTAAGTACAGCCCAGTCCAGCCCGGCTCAGCAATAGGGCGACTGGGATGATTCCCGTGAGTGTTAAACGGAGGCATCAGATATGAGGAGCAATAATAATAATGATCCTTATGTTTGACCCGGCGCCTGATCACGTCCTCGAGACGTCTCCAAGCGCTTCACAGGACACACCGTAAAGTACAGCGACTGTGTGTTTTGTGGGCGAAACGCGGCAGCCGTGGACTGAGTGACCAAATTATTATTTATTTTTGAAGAGATTTATTGCCCTCTGCAAAGCGATCCGCCAATCGACTAACAACCGGGTTCTCACTTACTGCTGGTAAATAGAAGGCGGGTGTGTGCGTGTGTGTGGAGTAAGGAAACTTGCCTAAGGTTTTGCCCCTTTTGAAACCGATCGAAGAGCCTGGCTTACCTTCACTGCGTAATAGTGGACACCGTAGGTTGGAAGAGATTCTGCGATGCTCATGTAACTGCCAACAAAAGATAAGGGGACAGGCCATGAGTTAAGAGAGTCAGTGTCCGGCAACGGTGGCAACTTCACATTATATTTATTCTTTCTGTTTGCCCGGCCGGGTGTCTGACACGCACGGAAACCCGTCACCGTTGCTTAAGAGTCTCCAAACCCAACTGAGAAATTCCAGGCCTCCCACCTGCATGGAAATCCCAGAGATGGAATGTCGGAATGGACGCTCTCTCTCTCTCTCTCCGGAGAGCCCAGAGTGTGCGTTGGGGGTAACTGCTGGAATCTAACCAGCTAAACCCACACGTAGTACGGCCATAGAGAGAGAGAGAGAGAGAGAGAGAGAGAGCGCTGTCTGGACAAGCTTTCCCACTGCTTGGACCACCCTCCCCGTTAGTTAGGGCTTTGGCTGTAGGGTTTAATGATTTATTAATGACAGTTGCTGACACCCCATTAACGTAAAATAAATGATTGTTTTTACTCACTTGACAATCGCCTGCCCTCTTGATTGTCCATTCACCTTCTTGTAGTGTTCTATCACTCTGTCCTCACTAAAAGGCGTCAAGACACAAAGCACTCACTTAACGATAGCCTCGCGGTTAATACGACCTTTATTCATGTCGCAAACAGTTGCGCACAGCAGTGTCCCACAAACAGCCGGGAAGCGAATGACCACTTTTATTTGGGGCTGGGGGGGGGGATTGTCAGCCAGGACACCGGGGAAGAGAAGAATAGAGAGGGGGAGAGATAGATAGAGAGAGAGAGAGAGAGAGAGAGATGGGTAGAGGAAGAGAGAGAGGGGGAGAATGGGGGAGAGAGAGTGAGGGAGAAAGAGAGAGCGCGGGAGAGAACTACGGTTATTGAGACTGTGTGTAAGGAACAGGGAGTGTTTGAGAGTGTTTGGCGATGTGGGAAAGAGAGAGAGAGAGTGTGTGACAGAGAGAGACTGGGGTGGTCGAGTGTGGTTCCCAGCACTCTGTGGCTCCCGAGGGGGTGGTGGTGGTGGGGGGGGCGGGGGGTGAGCGATCAATGTACAGGATTGTCTTACACGCATAATAACCTGTTCTGCCCTCGGAAACACAGTCTCTCCATCTCACAGCCTTTCATTTGAAGAAAATGGGGGGGGGGGGGTGAGGGAATAAAGGGCTGTTATTTCTTCCTCGTGGTTTTAAAGCTACCAATTAATTCTTTTTGATGTCGAGAGAGTTCAAAAAGGCAGAGAATTCTTTAAAGGAAGGAGAAAGTATTGGGACTTGTGAAAAAAAAAACAACTTGCATTTATATTTGTACAGCGCCCTTCAAGCAGCGCAGCGTCTCGGAGCTCTTAAAATAAAACGCAAGGATTATGTTTCTCCTAATTACACATCACGTCAAGAAGGACGTTAGCTCAGTGGTCAGAGCCATCGCCTCGCAAGCGAGAGGACCTGGGTTTCCATTCCCGGGCGGGGGCGAAACCTTAGGCAAGTTTGTGGGGGACGTCGCTGAGCGCAATCGGCTGCCGCGTTTCGCCCACAAAAAATACCCGGTCGCCGCACTTTGCAGTCTAACCCGTGAAGCGCTTTGAGACAGTCTCGACGGCCCGATAAGGCGCTGTATCGCACGCAAGGATTATTAATATTAATGTTAGCGTTATCGTTGTGAAATCTCCTCCGCTCGAGCAAAACGAGCCCCAACTTAAGTCAGCAACGGGTAAAAGCGGTCAAAGCAGGAGGAGGCTCCTCTCTGTGCAAGGATTATTATTCAGTCGGTAACTCTATACTTTGGTTTGAATCTCCCCACTGCCCTCTCCCTCTCCCTCCCTCTCTCTCAGCTGCTGTGGTGGCGATGCAGTAACGAGGTTGGATTCTGCCAGATGTGAGAGGTTAACAGCCCACACCACTGCACCTGCTGTTATCACTTCCCTCTTTCCTCCCCTTCCCCCCCCCCACACCGCCCCATCGCCCCCCCCCGCCTTGCTGCTCTCCCCTCACATACAGCAGGAATGTGGGTCAACTCACAGATGGCCCCCACACTCTCTCACTCGTCTCTCTCTCCCTTTCTTTCTCCCCTTCGCTCTCTCTCTCTCTCACCCCCACCTCTCCCTTTCTATCTCACTCTCTCTCCCTCTCCTCTCTCTTCCCCCCCGCCACCTCTCTCGCCCTCCCTCGCTTTCTCTACCTCTCTCTTCCCTTCTCTCTCTTTCCTCCGCGCAACTCTCCTCTTTCTTTCTCCCCCCACCCCACCCTCTCTCTCTCTCCCTCCCTCTTTTCCCCCTTCTCTTTCTCTCTCCCCTTTCCCCTCCTCTCGTATCTGTTTCTACCCTCGCTCTCTCTTTCTCTCTCCGATCTGCTACACCAAATGGCACCACCTCAGCAAAGGACAAGCCCATGTCAGCCTTCCAATGGGAATTGTATTGAGTACTTGAGGAAAACTGGTTGGGAGTAGAGTAGAGAGCTCCAGTGGGGGAGCGAACCCCAACACAGACACAATGGGGGTGGAGAGGGAGAGAGAGAGGGATAGCAGGGTAGCAGGGGAATGGGGTTAGAGTAGAGAGCTCCAGCGGGGGAGCGAGACGAGTCACGATGAGCTGAACAAAGTGCAGTCACGTTGGATGAGTCAGGGACTGACTCACGGCAGCAACGGGTTTGAGCTAAAACACAGCTGCCTTCGAATTACCGATAATGTGCCCGACCCTGAATCTCAGAGGAAGATCCCACCCCCGCCCCCCACCAAGCCCCCCGCGCCCCCCCCCCCCCCACCCACCCACACACACACCTCCCAAGCTGCCTCTCTCTCTCACGAGTAACATTACTGCGGCCAATGCCAAGAAAAATGACAATCTATAAGATCATTTCCTCTGCTGGAAAACTGCCCAACTCCCTCTCTCGCTCGCTCGCTCGACTCAACCCTCTTTCGGGGAACGGTAACGGGAAGCCCCGATCCCCAAATTCCTCACGGTCTAGCCTTAGCACCGTTTTACGAGCTTCGGGTTTAAGGTGGGGCAGAAATTTTCTTTTGGAAGCTGCTTTTTGTTTTGGTATCTTCCCTCCCGGCCATCCAGGTTTCAGGAAATCTTTAATAACTATCATAATAATAATAATAATAATAATAATAACCCCGGCATTTGATACAGCGTCTTATCAGGTCGTCGAGACGCCTCAAAGTGCTTTGCAGGATGCGCTGTAAAGTGCGGAGGCTGTGTACTTTGTGGGCGAAACGCAGCGGACAATTGCGCACAGCAGCGTCCCCGCAAACAGTCTTGAAGTGAGCGACCAGTTTTATTTGGGGGACTGTTGGCCAGGACACTGGGAGAGAGAGAGAGAGAGAGAGCTTCCGCTGAGCCAGGCTGACACACGCTGAGCTAACAAGTACTAGGAGGCAAAATGGGGGCGAGTGGCTGTCAAGTCTGACGCCTACCAGTAGGCGAGTGATGGATGTTCCTTCAGGGCCTGTGTGGGCAAGGCTGGCAATCTCTTCAGGTCAGCTCTCGTGGCTTCGTTGCTGAAAGAGAAAGACACACAGACGGGGAGTGAGGTTGTCACACCGGCCACTGACATGAGAACACAGGGATTTCTAGAGGGAAGAAGACCAAGGTCCACCCAGTTCGCCTTCCCACCATCCTGCCAGTGGCTCGGACATGTCGTGTCCCAAACTATATAATGATAATAATGATGATAATAATCTGCATTTGATACAGCGCTTATCACGTCTTCGAGACGCCACAGAGCGCTTCACAGGTTATACCGTAAAGTGTAGTGACTGGATACTTTGCGGGTGAAATGCGGCAGCCAATTGCGCACAGCAGCGTCCGTCCAACGAACAGTCGTGGATGGGGAGGCCAGATTTTTTTTTTTGAAGGGTTTATTTCCCCCCCCCACTGGAAAGTGATCCGCCAATCGACTAGCAACGGGGTTCCTACTGACTGCTGCGGAAATGTGCGGAGCGAGGAAACTTGGCTAAGGAATCGAAGAGGGGGCCCCGGTCTTGCGAGGCGGGAGCTCTAACCGCTACACGACAGGACTCCACAAATGATCTGTTGGGACAGCGGGAGAGAGTGACTACCTTCTCTAATACTGGAATGACGGTCTCAGTCCTCACCGCTGGTGCTTTTACACTTGACGGTAAACGGCTGAGATGTTTTCAGATCGACGAAGGAAAGGGGCTGCGCGAAAAAAAATAGTCCTTTCTTCTTTCTAACAAGGAGGGAAGGACTGGCATATTAAAGCTGGACAAAGATGCTATTGTTGCTCACAAGGCTGGACAGACCTCACGTGGAGTATAGTGTTCGTTTTTGGACTCACAACGTCAGGGAAGATTAGGCCAGTCTCGGGGGCAGCTCAGCAACAGTCCCTCTCGCCGAGTGAATGAAGAAGTGGGACTCTGCACAGCACAGAAACGGGCTGTTTGTTGAGTCCTGTGGCTCAGTGGTTAGACCTCCCTCCAGCCTTCCGAACCCTTCTACCATTGGTTTGTCAAATGGTGGAGTTCCTGTAGCTCAGTGGTTAGAACGCAAGCGAGAGGACACTCGGGTTCGATTCCCGGGCGGGTCAGGGGCTAAACCTTAGGCAAGTTTCCTTACTCCACACGCGCGCCTCTGTTTACCTAACAGTAACCCGCTGGTTAGTCGATCCCTTTCCCGGGGTAATAAGCCCTTCAAAATAAAAGATGTGGTCACTCGATCCACCACTGCTCGTGGGGACGCTGTGGGCGCAATTGGCTGCCGCGTTTCGCCCACAAAACACACAAGTCACTCCGCTTTACAGCGTATCCTGTGAAGCGCTTTGAGACGTCTCAACGACGTGATAAGGCGCTGTGTCAAATGTCAGCATTATTATTATTATTATTATTATTATTATTATTATTATTATTAAAGCTCTGGCCTTGGTTTGCGATCGCAGAGCAGGAAGCCACGACCAGTCGCGTTAATTAGCTGGAAGGTTTCGGGAGCAGATTAGACAGGAACAAATCAACACAATTGCTGGGCTGCAGAAACATCCTGTCCTCCCAGAGGAAATCCGGGGGCACGAAGAGAGCAGAGCTGGGAGCGAGCGGGCAAAAAAATACACCAGCACATCGCTCTCTCGACTCTGGGGCAGAATGATGTGGGTTCAAAGCCCCGCGACCCCCATTGGGGACTTTATATTAATGAATAATAATAATAATAATAATAATAATCTTTACATTTAATATAGCAGCTTATCACGTCGTCGAGATTCCCCAAAGCGCTTCACAGGATTCACTGTAAAGTGTAGTGACTGCGTATTTTTGTGGGCGAAACGCGGCGGCCAATTGGCGATGTAGAGCGTCTCGGGGCGCTGTACGGAAACGCTGTACGCACACTCAAGAGGACGCAGAGCCGCGTGTACAGACCTGCTCCCGGGCACAGGCACGGAGACGAGACTCGCTCACTCACCTGGAATAATCTCCTTTGGCTTCCTGCAAGGCAATCGGCAGGTAAAGGGTTAACGTCAGGCCGGTCTCCGGTGGCAGGGAAAGGGTTAACGACAGAAACGACGACAACAACGTCAACAGGAATGAGAACAACAACAACAACGACAGCAACAACAGCAACAACAACAACATACACGCCCCTCTTCATGTCTCAGAGCGCTGTACAATAGAGAGATCGGACACTGAGCGAGAGAGAGAGGGGTGGGGGGGAAGGGGGGGTGGGTGGGGGTGAGGTGGGGTGGGGGGGTGGAGACATAGGGAGGGAGTTCCAGAGGTTAGGGCGTAGCTGCTGAAGGCAACAACAACAACAAATGACATTTACGCAGCGTCTTTCACGTCGGGAGGACGTCCCAAGGCGCTGGACAGTCGGGGATTTGGACCCACCTGGGGGTTGGGGGTCAGGAGGTGGGGTGCAGGGCGGGGGAGGGTGGGGGGGGGGGTCGGAGGGTGACTCAAGGCGCAGTCGAAGAGGAGGGTCTTGATCAACGACATCAAAGATGAGAACATCTTCCCCCCAGTCCCACCCTCTGCCCCCCCAACCCCACCCTCTCCCCCCCACCCTCTGTCCCCCCCACCCTCTCCCCCCCCACCCTCTCCCCCCCTGATAACCACTAAACGTAACAAACCCTCGAGCCCCACCTGCAGGATGTAACTCGCCAACTCAAATATCGCCTCCGTCTCAACCTCGATCAGCTCCTGTAAACATCACATACACCAGGTCAGCTCGGGGCACAGGGCACAGGGCACAGGGACAGGGCACAGGGACAGGGCACAGGGCACAGGGACAGGGCACAGGGACGGGGACAGGGAACAGGGACAGGGCACAGAGCACAGGGCACAGAGCACAGGGACAGGGCACAGAGCACAGGGCACAGGGACAGGGACAGGGCACAGGGCACAGGGACAGGGCACAGGGACAGGGCACAGGGACAGGGCACAGGGACAGGGCACAGAGCACAGGGCACAGGGCACAGGGACAGGGAACAGGGACAGGGCACAAAGCACAGGGCACAGGGACAGGGCACAGAGCACAGGGACAGGGCACAGGCACAGGGACAGGGACAGGGACAGGAACAGGGACAGGGCACAGAGCACAGGGCACAGGGACAGGGCACAGGGACAGGGGCAGGGACAGGGACAGGGCACAGAGCACAGGGACAGGGCACAGAGCACAGGGCACAGAGCACAGGGACAGGGCACAGGGCACAGGGACAGGGCACAGGCACAGGGACAGGGACAGGGACAGGGACAGGGACAGGAACAGGGCACAGGGCACAGAGCACAGGGCACAGGGCACACAGCACAGGGCACAGGGCACAGGGACAGGGCACAGGGACAGGGCACAGAGCACAGGGACAGAGCACAGGGCACAGAGCACAGGGACAGGGCACAGGGCACAGGGCACAGAACACAGGGACAGGGCACAGGGCACAGACACAGGGCACTGGGCACAGCTACAGCTATACAGGGGCAGAAAGTAACACGTCTCTCTCCCTCCTTCCCGTTCTCTTCCATTCTCTCTCTCTCTCTCTCTCTCTCTCTCTCTCTCATTTTCTCTCCCTTCCTCTCACTCTCTGACTCTCACATTCTCTCTCTCTCTGACGCTCGCATTCTCTCTCCCTCTCTCACATTCTCTCTCTTCCTCTCATTCTGACTCTCACGCATTCTCTCTCTCTCTCTGACTCTCACATTCCCTCTCTCTCATTCTCTCCCTCTCTCTCTCTCCCGCTCTATCCGTGTCAGCCAGCCAACTACGAGGTGTAAATCATTCGCTCCTCTCCCTCTCTCTCTCGCTCTCTCTCTCTCTCCATCCCAAATACATATCAACAAAACCCACACCTTCACCCCCGGAATAAAAACTTTTTTCTGGTCCGACATCGTTAACTGCAGCGCCTGAACGACAGACTCTTGTCGAGTGAGGATTTTCTCACTAACAGAGAACAGCTCTATCTGTCTGTGTGCGTGTGTGTCTCTCTCTCTCTCTCTCTCTCTATCTGTCTCTCTCTCTCCCTATTTCTCTCTCTATCTCTCCGAAGGCACCTCAAGGCAGTGAAGGGATTCCAAAGCTCTCAGGCGTAAGCGTTGTGGTCGGAGCAGAAATTCCTCTGCGTAAAAACGCAGTCTAGAGCTCATTGCCCACACCCACACACACCCTCCTCCCTCCCATTCCCCCCCCCCACCCCACCCCACCACACATACAAACTCCAGCGTCAGTCTGATCCGTAACCCTGAGAGCCAAAACAAATCCTTTTCCTTAATATATATATATAGATAGATTGATATAAACAGATCTCTCTCCCGCCCACACTCTCTCTCTGGTTGCCAAATCTCAATGAAGCAAAACTTTCTCTCTGATAGTCCCCCCCCACACTCGCAGCAAACCTCCCCCACACCCCCCACTCCACACCGCTAGGAGCAAAGCTCCTTCACTCGCTCTGACCCTCTCCCTTCTCCACTGCCACCTCCGCTAGTGTCAGAGCTTCGGGGAGAGGAGAGCAGCGTAAGGCTTTCATCTGGGCTGATTGAGAAATGACGAGCTCAGGGCTACGGTATTGCGGGGGTTGAATTGGGATGAGATCAGATGGGCCAAAAGGTCTTCTTCATCCGCACCCATCTTCAGGATGTAATTCCCCCAATTAGGTCCCTCCCTTGGGGGAGTAAGGAAACCAGCCTAAGGTTTCGCCCCGGCCCGGGAATCCTCGCGCTCGCGAGCTAACCACTACGCTGCACGCCTCCCCCCACCCCCCAACTCAACATTCTGACCCAGCGCCCAGCACCTCAGAGGGATTTGCCGCCGAGTGTAGTGACTGTGTTACAGCAAAATCCCTCAACCACCAGGCGAAGTGACCAACTTATGGAAACGTGGGGGGGAGGGAGAGGGGCTTGAACCCCACAATCGTTTGCCTGAGAGACGAGAGCGCGACTGACTGATCCAGGCTGAAAGCCCCCTCCCCTCTCCCTCTGACCTCATCAAACCCCGGCGTTAGGGGTGCGAGAGTGCCCTGCGATGTGGGGTCGGGTGTCGCTGTCGCACGGCTCAGTACCTTGTAGATACAAGACTTGGCGTTGAGGAAGAAGAGCTCGATGGTGGCGTTGTGCTTCAGGTACGCAATGCTCTCAATGTAGAACCTGCCAAACAAGGGCACAGGACAGTCCGTCTCACTGAAAATCATACCTCTGCGGTGATTACATGTGTGTTTGCCTGTGTGTGCGTGTGTATTTGTATGTGCGAGTATGTGTGTGTGTGTATTTGTATGTGTGCGCGTGTGTGTAATTGCAAGTGTTTGTGTGTGTTTGCCTCTTGAGTATATTTTCATGTGTGTATGTGTGCGCGTATTTGCCTGTGTGTGTGTGTATTTGCCCTTTCTGTGTGTGTGTGTGTGTATTAGCCCGGTCTCTGTGTGTGTGTGTGTGTGTGTATTTGCTCTGTCTGTGTGTCCTGACCCAACTGTCCAGCGCTTTGGGACGTCCTCCCGACGTGAAAGGCGCTCTATAAATGAAATCCTGTTGTTGCTGCTGCGCGCGCGTGTGTGTATATTTGCCTGTGTTGGCGTATAAACAGTATTTGTCTGTGCGTGTGCGGGCGGATATGCAGTATTTGCATGTGTGCGTGTGTGTATGTATACAGTATTTGCCTGCGTCTGTGTGTGTATATACAGCCTTTGTGTGTGTGTGTGTGTGTGTGGGTGTGTGTATACACAGTGTTTGCCTGCGTGCCGTGCCCTTCCCTGTGTGCCTCTACCGGGTGCAGTACCAGTACAGGTTCGCCAGGGGGCGGTGCGCACCACAACATTAACACACAAAAGGCGCTCTGCGACCCTTTCCTCCCCCGACCGAGAGCTCCCGGGAACGAAGCCTAAAATTCCGCCCGGTCCCAGCCCCGAGAACGTCCTGTCTGGAGCCTTAAGGTGACGTCAAACGATGAAACGTTCTCATGATTTCTCAGCCTTACTTCGGTGGCCGATTTGGCAGAAGGGGAATGCGTTAAAAAAAACATGGTTTCTGGATCAATAACCGTATTAATTATTATTAACGATTAATAATCATCATCATCGTCACCATAGATTGGGAGCAGGTGTAAGGTTTTCAAAGATTCCGCTCCGCCTTCAGCTGGAAGGCAAAACCCTCCAAGTAACCGCAGCCACGACATTAATGATTACAATAATGACCACCGCATTTCATTTGGTGCCTTATCACATCGTCAAAAAGCGTGAGCGTAGTGACTGTGTGATTTTGTGGGCGATGGCGGCAGCCGTTTTGCTCACAGCGACGTCCCCACCACCAGCCATGAAATGAAACGAAGTGAAATGAGTGATCAATAGGGATGAAGGTTTAACGACGCCAACAAGCACACAGTCACAAAAACAAAAGCATCAGCGAACGAACAAATAAACAAATGAAGGAAGGAACGAACTAACCAACCAACCAACCAACGAAGGAATACACGACGGGACAAACGAATGACAGAATGAAGGGAAGAACGAGGGAATAAAGGAACGAAGGAACCATTCGAACCCACCAGCCAATGAACAAACCAAGGAAGGGCTGTTGACGCTCCAAAGGGCTGTTGACGCTCAGCCTTGAACATATTCAAGACTGAGATAGATTTCTTATTGCAAAAGGGGTTAAGGGATTATGGGGATAAGGCAGAGTCGGGTTATCAGCTGGAGTTAGATTAGAAGATCAGCCATGATTGAATGGCGGGGCAGAGGCTCGAAGGGCCGAATGGCCTCCTCCTACTCCTACATGTTATGTTATGTTATGTTATGACAGAATGAAGGTGAAGAATACATGAAGGAGGGAGGGAGGGAGGGAGGGAGGGAGGGAAGATGACTTACTTCACACAGAAGTGTAGGACGATGGGTCCTGATTTCCTGGGGAAATCATGTTCCAACACTCTGCGATCCAGCTGTAGCCAACTGCAATGGCCCCTGTGGGCGGGAGAGAGAGAGAGAGAGAGAACGTCAGCCCCCACACAGCACCCGACCACAACAACCCTTCAGCACATTGTGTGTGTGTGTGACTTCTCCACCATCGGCCTCTCTGCCCACCCCACCCGCCCCCCACCCTCTGGGACTCCATCCCGCCTCGCTCCCTCGCCTCCTTAAAGGCCCGTCTCAAGACCCTCCACTTGACCACCACCCCAGCCTTCGGTCACCCTCCAACCCCCTACCCTCACCCGCCCTCCACCCCCACTCCCTGATCCCGACCACCAGCTCGGGTCCAAGTCCCTGACTGTCCAGCGCCTTGGGATGTCCTCCTGACACCTTGAAAGGCGCTGCGTTAAATGTCATGTAATGTGTTGTTGCTGCTGCTGTTGTTGCTGCTGGTGTTGTTGTTGTTGTTGTTGTTATTGATGCAGTGACTCACGATTCGTCAGTGTAGGCGATGCCAAAGTATTCCTTCTCCTTCAGGTTGAAGTGAGAAGCCACCAGGTCCAAAAGCTCCTTAGCCAACAGCTTAGGCTGTAACAGAAAGAGAGGGAGAGAGGGAGCGTGAGAGTGTGAGAGAGAGAGAGAGAGAGAGAGAGAGAAAGAGAGAGCGTGTGAGAGCTCTCTATTCCAACCCCCATTGCCGTGCTCTGTCGGAGGGGTTGGGGGGGGGGGGGAGCTGTGTAAAGTACAGTCAGGAGCCATCAGACACAACAATGTTCTCTATTAACAGAGTAATGGGGGTGTGCGCAGTGGGGGGGTGGGGGAGGGGAGGGGAGAGAGAGAGAGAGGGGGAGGGGGTTTGGAGGCTGGGGAGAGAGGGTCAGTGACCGAGAACCAGCTTCATCCAACTCAACTGCAACTCAAACGATGGCCTTCTTTGTTCGTGCAGCCAACACGCAGAGGCCACAGCTGTCTGTCCTCTTCCCCCCCACCGCCACCCCCCCCCCACCACCTCCCCCTTACTTCCCGCTCAGTTACAAAGAATCCCTTTGACGTTCCCAACACAAGACAAGAATTCCCCGGAAGCCACTCGTGTCGGGAGTTTCCGTGACCGATCGGGTAAACAACGCCCCACAGTCGAGTCGGTTTTATTTCATCGTCAGCAGCGAAAACGGAACCTCACTCCCTGCTCAGGCGGACGTTATAAGATCCCGGGGATCTCTCCCTCTCTCCCGGTGTCCTGGCCAACGATCCCCCCACCCCCCCCCCCCCACCCAAATAAAATCGGTCACTCGCTCCGCGGCTGTTTGCGGGGAACACTGCTGTGTGCAATTGGCTGCCAAGTTTCACCCACAAACTCCCAGTCACTGCACTTTACAGCGTATCTCCTGCGAAGCGCTTTGAGACGTCTCGATGACTTGATCAGGCGCTGTGTGAAATGCAAGGAATATTACTGCGTGAGCGAGTGTGTGTGTTTATGTGATTGCGTGTGTGTGTGTGTGAGCGTGTGTGTGTGTGTGTGAGCATGTGTGTGTGAGCATGTGTGTGTATGTGTATGTGAGCGCGTGTGTGAGGGTGTATGAGTGTGTGTGAGGGTGTGTGTGAGGGTGTATGAGTGTGTGTGAGGGTGTGTGTGAGGGTGTATGAGTGTGTGTGAGCGTGTGTGTGAGTGCGTGTGTGTGCGCGCGTGTGTGTGTGAGTGAGTGTCTGAGTGAGTGAGTGAGTGACTGAGAGAGTGAGCGACTGAGAGAGAGAGAGAGAGTCAGTGAGAGACTGATGGACTGAGAGAGCGAACGAGACAAAAGAGGTCAGTTTAAAAGTCCTCTGAAATCAGATGATGTGCGTTTTGCATCGAGAATCTCGTGCCAAAGCCCTTCCCAACTGCATTCACAGCTCTGTGCCCACAGGGGTCACTGAAACAGCTCTCTCCCCCCCTCCACCGCCACCCCCACCCCCACCAGAGCGTGAGACAAATATAGAACCTCCTCTCTTTCCTTCTGTTCCCTCTCTCTCTCTCTCTCTCTCTCTCTCTCTCCCTCCCGCAATTCCCGCCGTATCCTAATAACCGCCGCATCCGCACAAACAATCCTCGCATTTGACGACGCGCCCGATCACGTTGTCGAGACGTCTCACGGCGCTTCACGGAAACTACGGTAAAGCGTAGTGACTGTGAACAACAACAACAGCAGCAACAGGGTTACATTCGTAGAGCGCCTTCCACGTCGGGAGGACGTCCCAAGGACGTGGCAGGCAACTGCGCACAGCAGCCTCCCCGCAAACAGCCGTGAAGCGAGCGAGTGACCTATTTTATTGGGTGGGGGGGGGGGGATTGTCGGCCAGGACAACGGGAGAGAGAGAGAGAGAGAGAGAGAGAGAAACTCCCTTCTCGTTTCCCACAGGATCTGCAATGTCCACCCGAACAGGGCACAGATGGGAAAAGGGATGGAGGAACGGAAGGGAAGGGAGGGGGAGAGGGAGGGGCAGAGGGAGGGGGAGAGGGAGGGGGGTCTGAAACAGACAAGGAGCTCTGTGAGTCGCTGTCTCTCGCAAGCTATCACAGCTGACCTCAGGGAAGGAGGGGGAGGGCGAGGGGGGGGAATGATTCATTCAAGCCCTGGCTTTGAAGTCTTGTCTACCACGTCAATGACTTGTATTCAGACACTCCCTTTGATCCCCGCTCGTCGCTCGCGGCAAACAGGGCTCAATTTCATTGGGAATCCTGTAGCGCAGTGGTTAGAACACTCGCCTCGCACGCCAGAGGACCCGGGTCCGATTCCCGGGCGAAACGTTGGGCAAGTTTCCTTACTCCACGCACACACACACACATACACACAGGCGCCTCTGTTTACCAGCAGTAAGTAGGGACCCGGTTGTTAGTCGATTGGGGGATCGCTTTCCGGGGGGGGGGATAATCCCTCCAAAAATATATATATAATGTGGTCACTCGTCCCACGACTGTTTGTGGGAAGCAGGGAATCCTCCCACTCAGCTCCGGCTAACGCTGCAAGCCAAAGCCCTAACGGCCGGCCAGGGTGGTCCTTGCTGGACAGTCATCTTGAGGCTTTCAGAAGATAGAGGAGCTGATTCCCTTGGGCGAGCGTCCAGAGCTGGGGCGGGTGGGGCTAGGGGAGGGGATGGGTGGGTGGGAGGTAAGGGAGGGGAGGGGGTAAGAGAAGGGTGGGCTGTCAGGCGGGGTAAGGGAAGGGAGAGTGGTGGGGGGGGGGGTGTCTGGCGACGGAGATGAAGAGGGTGGGCTTTACCTGAACGAGCAGCTCCAATTTGCGGTCGTCTAGGAGGTGCACCTGACATCGACGCCCTTCCGTCATCTAGAGAGAGAGAGAGAGAGAGAGACAGAGTCAGATCCCAATAATAATAATAACAATCCTTCCATTTGACACAGGGCCTCATCACATTGTCGAGACGTCTCGAAAGCGCTTCACGGGATACACCGTAGAGTGGATTTGACTGTGTATTTTGTGGGCAAACGGCGGCAGCCAAAATGTCCCACCGACAATCATGACCAAATTATTATAATTATCATCTTTTTCTTAAAGGAATCAACCAGCAAGCGGGTTCCGACTTACGGCGAAGCAAACAGAGGCGTGTGCGCGTGTGGAGTAAGGGAACTTGCCCGAGGTTTCGCCCTGTCCCGCCCGGGAATCGAACCCGGGTCCTCTCGCTTGCGAGGCGAGCGCTCTAACCCACTGAGCTACAGGGACTCCAACGCCAGTTGTTTTTCACCAAGTCGCTGTCCGAAAATACTTTAAACTTAATTAAAACAAGCCAACAAATGAACTTATTCCTCAATAGTGTTGGTCAGTGCCTATTATTCAGGTCGAAGAGGAGGGTCCTGAGATGGGCCTCGAAGGAGGTGAGGTGGGGTGTGGGGGGGGGGGACGAGACTATGGGATGGAGATGACGCTCAGGAGAAACCAGAGCTGCACACAGCGACACGGGCTGTTGTTTCGGACGCTGTATCAGGAGCGAGTCCCGTAGCGTAGTGGTTGGAGCTCTCGCCTCGCCCTGTTTGCGGGACGCCGCTGTGAGCAATTGGCCTCCATGTCACGCCCCACAAAATACGCAGTCACTACGCTTCACGGTCGAGCGCTTTGAGACGTCTCGACGACGAGGCGAGACTCTATATCAAACACAAGGAATATTATTATTATTGTCATCGGAAACTCCAAAACCTCTTCCCTTCCCAACACAAACACCCTGGCGTCCTGTGGAACTCTCTCCAAAAAGTCCTTCCCCTCCCCACCACCGCCACCCGCGTCCCTTTCCTCAGTTTAAAAAAAAATCTCCGTTGAAACCTGCGTTTAACCCTTCCGTGCCACCTCGTCTCCCGCTGTCCTAACCCTCGCGAGGGGGTGGTGGAGGGAGGGGAGTGGGGGTGAGCCCGGAGATAGACGAACGCTTTACGCCAAGGGACCGAGTTGTTATTGTCGCTGAGGGGAGAGTGGAAGGGAGGAGGGGGAAGGGGAGGGGAGGGGAGGGAGGGACAGACGGGGACGTCTGACAGACGTTTCTGAGGAGAAACGTAACGTCGCGGATCGGGCGATGAGACGTTCCCCAACTGGGAATGTGGGGATTGCAGACCAATACATTGTTCGGCCCTGACCGCCTGACATGTAGAGGAAGTTTGCTGTGGGAAGGATTTCCTTTGGAGATTGATTGTGTTCGTTAGACTCTCTCTCTCTCTCTCTCTCTCTCCGTCTCACCCCCCACCACCACCCTTTTCATTCCCCATCTTCAGATCGCGCTCGAAGAAGACTTTCCTCTTCGAACTTACGGCGCCTACGGTCACCGACCCCCACCCCCACCCCCACCCCCCCCCCTCCCCTCCCTGCCCACGACTCGGTGTCGTGCTCCCTCACTGACATCGCCCTGCGCGTCCATCCTCAACAGCACGCGACGTTCACTCAGCGCCTTTCACGTCCGAGAGGACGTTCCAAAGTGGTGCTGCCCCCACCCTAACACCCGGCACAGATTTTTGCCCTAAACCGCCCTCCCACCCCCACCCCCACCCCAGCCCTAACCTCCCAACCCATCTCCCAGCCCTCAGCCCAGACTCCAACCCACCACCCGGCCCCCATCCCAGGCTGTGAGTGCGTGCAAGACACAAATCGCTGGCGGAGAGGAGGGGACTGGAGAGGTGGGGGGGGGGGAGGAGGGGGAGAGGGGGAGAACAAGACAGACAGAGAAAGAGAGAGCTTTTTGTAACTAGATGTCAGGTCACGTGAAACTGGAGAATGTGTTCTCAGCTGGGGGGGGGGGGGGGGCGGGGTGGGGGGGGGAATACACCCTCACCGCCGCCCCCCCCACCCCGCCTCAGCCTCACAGCTAAATGCAACACAGGAAATGGTTGGGGGGGGGGGGGGACGGGGAGGGATTTTTTCTGTGTGGCAAATTTTTACGAAATGCGGTCAATCTCTCTCTCACCACCGCTCACACCCGACACAGAACACAAAGCCTCGAGGGTGGGGGTCTGTGTGGGACAGAGAGAGAGAGAGAGAGAGAGCGAGAGAGAGAGAGACCTGGAGAAAGAGAACGGGAGGGAGAAAGATAAAGGGAGAGAAAGAGAACGAGATCTGGAAAGGCAGTGAGAGAGAAAGAGACAGTGAGGGACAGACACACAGAGAGAGAGAGACAAAGAAATAGGAGTCAGAAGGTGGTGGGTTCAAGCCCCAACGTCTGGACTTGGGATCACGTCGTCTAAGCTGACACATCAATGCAGCGCTGGGGGTGGGGGGGTGGTGGGGAGTGACATTGTGAGAGCCCCCCGTCCCCCCTCCCTCCCTCCCCCTCTCTCTCTCGCTCTCTCTCTCTCTCTCGCTTTCTTCCCCCCCTCTCTCGTTCTGCAGTTGTTGTAACTGGGACCAGATGTGTGTGTTTCCCCCAATCATTTCTATTTAATATTTCACGTCACTCACCATCTTGGGAGTCGGAGTGGGGTGGGGGTGGGGGGGGTGGGGGTGTGGGGGGGGGGGGGGGCAGAAGTGCTTTTACACAGAGGGCTGTGAGAACACAGACAGAAGGAGGCCATTCAGCCCCTCCAGCCTGTTCTGTCAGTCTATAAGATCACGGCTGATCTGTGCATCAACTCCAATTACCCACCTTTGCCCCATAGCCCTTGATACCCTGACCTAACAAACATCCACCCCATTTCCCCCCCCCCCCCCCACCTCCTAGTTTCCCCGTCGCTACCCCAGGGGATCCCGTTATTCTTTTAAACCCTTCGCCGCAAACGGTTGTCGCGACACTCTACGTAGAACAGTAATGCCGTGCGCAGGAATCCTTGAATTCGCATTTGCCTCTCATCGTGTGGTCAGAAAGCCTCGGAGTGTTGGCGGGGACTTCCCCGCGACATTGCTTGTGTGCCTTGCGGGCCAACCGCGGCAACCGATTTGCGCACAGCGACCGTCCCCGCGAGCAGCGGCGGGTTGAGCGACCGCATTCAACTCGAGGGGATTGTCGGCCAGGACGCCGGGGGAGAGAGAGAGAGAGAGAGAGAGAGGAGAGAGAGAGAGAGAGAGGAGGAGGGAGGAGAGGAGAGGGAGGAACTCCCTTCTCTTTTCCCAACAGCATCGCGAGACCTTTTACGCCCCCGTCACTGGGCTGGAACGTCAGCTTAGACTATGAGCTCAAAACCCGCCGTGGAGATTGCGGTGGTGGTGGGGGGGGAGAGGGGGAGGGGGAGAGGGGGGGGGAAGGAGAGGTGGGGTCTCCAACCCACAAACTCCTGACTCAGGCCCTGAAAATACAGCCGTTGTTTTTTCTTGTGTGAATTTTAGAAAACCAACACGATTCAATTTTGTGGTTTATTCCCCTTCCTCCCCCCTCCCCCCCACCACCCCTTCCCAGAGACATTGGGACTGTGAGACTGAGGGGGAGGGGGTGGGGACTGAGGTGGGGGTTGGGGGGGGGGGGAGTGGGGGGTTGGATTTTTTGTGACCTTTTCCCAAGGCTCCGCCACTGAAATTCTGCGGAATTTGCTGCTCTGTCTGGGAAGGGAGCGATGAAAAGTCAAATACTTCAAACCACATGTGTCTGGGCTGGTGGGGCCTCACCCCACTAACTGTACGGCTGAGTCAGAAGTTTGTGGGTTCAAGCCCCCACTGTCAGGACTCGGAATCGCACAGTCTAAGCTGACGCCCCAGTGCAGCCCCGGGGGGTGGGGGGGTATCGCATTGTCGGAGACGCCGTCCTTCGGATGAGACGCTGTTCACCCTTAAAATACACAGGAAACCCACTGTGTACACACGACGTGATAAGGCGCTATATCAAACGTATTGACTGGGTGTTCTGTGGGAGAGACGCGGCGGCCAATTGCGTACAACAGTCTCGCACAAACAGCCGTGGATTGAGCGAACGCGTTTTTTTGGGGGGGGGAGGGAGGGAGTGTTACCCCCCCCCCACCCCCCCCCCCCCGGAAAGCGACAGTTGTAAAGGCTTACAAGGTTCAGGCAGGGAGAAAATAATTTTAAGAAGTCCACGTAATTAAGTGGAGACCCCGCGAAGTCCCGTAGCTCAGCGGTTAGAGCCGTCGCCTCGCAAACGGCAGAGCGAAACCTGAGGCAAGTCTCCTTACTCCGCGCACACGCACACACACACGCACACACACACACACACACACGCACACGCGCACACGCACACTGTTTACCAGCAGTAAAGTAGGAATAATGAAATTAACGAATTAAAACAACAATTTGGTCACTCGATCCCCGGCAGTTCGCGCGGACGCTGCTGCGCGCAAACTGGCTGCCGCGCTCGGCCCGCGAAACACGCCCAAGCGTCAATTCCCGTTACCGCGTTATTCTCGTGAAGGCGCTTCGAGACGTCTCGAAGAACTGTTGCCTTTGCGGTTACCGAAGCGGCTGAGAAAGAGCGTTCAGCCTCCCTGAGAGAAACACGTCGCACTCCCAGTGAACCCGGCCCAGCGCGGAATCTTCCCACACATTAAGTGCATTAAAATAGCTTCCATCCGCGCCACCACATCCGCTCTCTGCCAAACCCCAACCCCTCAAAGCAGCAAAACCAGAGGCTCGTTCAGCTCTGTATTCAAGGGAAATAGTTGAGCCACAGCCAGACACACGGGGAGAGCAGGGGAATGGGGGGGGGGGGGGGTTAGAGGAGAGAGCTCCAGTGGGGGGAGCGAGCCCCAGCACGGACACGATGGGGAGAGAGAGAGAGAGAACAGGGAATGGGGTGAGAGTAGAGAGCGCCAGTGGGGGAGTGAGCCCCAGCACGGACACGATGGGGAGAGAGAGAGAGAGAGAGAGAGCAGGGAATGGGGTTAGAGTAGAGAGCGCCAGTGGGGGAGTGA